CTAATTTTACAATATCTACCAAATTTTATTACATGATATAGAATTATTTTTAATTTTTAATTTATCAAAATCACTACCAAAGCTCTTCGTTAAAATAACCGAGCTATTTGGTGTTTCCATGGAGACAGAAACACGGTAAAGTTTTCCTCAATCTGGTAGTTTTGAATACACTACTTTTTTTTCTCAGTGTAATGGTATATCATCATTACTAATGAATTTGAATTTAACTCTTATTCATTTAAAATTTTACCTTTTACACTCTGCCTTTTTGTCAAATTTTCACCATTTATTTTACTTTCATTCGATTCTACAAATTATTCCGCAATTTTCAAAAATCATAGTTAATGTAGTATAGTTAAAAGCCTCTAATGTATTATTTTGTTTGCTGGGTAGTTATAACTATAATACAAATTACACTCATCTTGTAGCAGTTGAAACTTGAATAATATTTATTGTTAGATTGTTGTATATACTGGTTAAAAGAATTCCTGGTTCAAAACCCGAACCCATCACTAATTTCATAGATTATTTAACTTGAATGTGAAACTATTTATTCAACATATGGTTGTTTTGAAATTGAAAAAAAAGTCTTTAACAGTATAATATTTCACTTAAATTTTCTAATCAGGTACTTCGTAAGAAAATTAAATTTTTGAGGCAGTTGGACAACCGGAAAGTTTCCATAGAATTACGTGTTGTACATTTTTTTTTTAAATTTTCGTTTGTTTTCCGATTTTTTGCCTTAAAATTTGTTCACTGACTATAAATCATAGAGCTCAAATAGAATTCTTTATTATTATCTTTTTATAAAAGGATTGAGAATTCAAAGTAAGTACAAGAAAAAGGGAAAAGAAAGATCCTTTTTGATTGGATGAATAAAGGCCCAATTTCCGTTTTTTATTACCTCGATGGATTTGCTATCAAAAATACTACAATATGAGAGCTATTGAATAAAGCGAAGTCTACAAACACTCAATAAATATCTCATCCAAACAAGAGAGTTCATCCTTTTGAAGGTAACCTTGACCGAGGCGCGAACTTCTCGGCACGGCTTAACGCCTTTGTGATACTCGCCGACGATGTTCCCAATCACCGCTGCAGACGTGTAGAAATACAAACAGGAACATTTAAATTGTGCAAGGTCGGAAGAATTTTTTTTCTTTTCCTCTTTACGTTTGATTCTGAATAATCTGACCTCACGTAGACACTTAGGTCACTATAATATATTCTCCTTCAATAAAGTGAAAAATGAATTATTGTTATAATTTTAAAGGCTTAAATAAATTTTGTATGTATTTCCCTTTATTGAAAGGTCAGAATTAGATATTTTTTTTTAATATTCTCTCCGACATTTTACCATGTCGGGACATCAAAATAACTATCAAAAATAACATCAATCAATTATTCAATTTAATTTTCTAAGATTTTGCAAGTCTATTTTTTTAATAGTTGCCTACATTGATACTTGATATAAAAGAACAGATTGAAATTTTTTTTTTAATTATTCAACCTACTTTTTTAAATAGTTGCTTACATTGATACTTGATATAAAAGAACAGATTGAATTTTTTAGTTAACTATTCAACCTACTTATTAAATAGTTGCCTACATTGATACTTGATATAAAAGAACAGATTTAAATTTTTTTTTTAACTTTTCAACCTGCTTTTTTAAATAATTGCCTACATTGATACTTGATATAAAGGAACAGATTGAAATTTTTTTTCTAACTATTCAACCTACTTTTTTAAATAGTTGCCTACATTGATACTTGATATAAAAGAACAGATTTTTTTTTTTAAACTTTTCAACCTATTTTTTTAAATAGTTGCCTACATTGATACTTGATATAAAAGAACAGATTGAAATTTTTTTTAACTATTCAACCTACTTTTTTAAATAGTTGCCTACATTGATACTTGATATAAAAGAACAGATTGAAATTTTTTTTTTAAACTAATCAACCTACTTTTTTAAATAGTTGCCTACATTGATACTTGATATAAAAGAACAGATTGAAATTTTTTTAAGCTATTCAACCTACTTTTTTAAATAGTTGCCTATATTGAAACTTGATATAAAAGAACAGACTGAAAGTTTTTAGTTAACTATTCAACCTACTTTTTTAACTCATTAGTATTCAACTAACAGTAAATTGTTTTAAATCCTTAATTCATGAAATAAATACTTTACAGAATTTAAAACGATTCATACCTACTCTTTATACTCACTTTAAGAGGACGCTATACTACGGGAGAAACTTTTAATCGCAAATTCTCTTTCTTTTCCATAAAATAATTTAAAATTTATTGTATAGAAAAAGTGAATTCAGGCAAACTATAGAGTAAACTATAAAATTTCAAATACTGAAAAGAAATTTTCATAATATCTAAATGAAAATAAGTTATGAGAATATACATTATATACTTAGGATTATACAATGGAGAAGTTCTCTTTCAATAATTTGTTTGAAATTTGATATTATAAATTTTTTTCAGCAACTGAAACACCATGGCTTACTCTATGTTTTAGTCAAATTTTAGTTGACGGTCAAATTCAGGTTGTTTAACCGTATTAGATGAAAGCAGTTAATAAACTCTTTTTCTCACTGTTAATAGTTTGAATATTATCTTATTTATGATTATTTGACTGTTTTACTTGAATATTATAAAATAAACTCTTATTTAATAATTTTTCTAAGAAATTTCTAGCAGTGCTCAATATTAAGCTGAAATATTTTAAAAACACTGTTTGTTCGTTGATTTCCATTTAAAGCAAGTTACTAACTGAACAGCAAACGTCACACAATCTCATTATATTGCATACAATCAATGTACATTGTGCAAAAAAAATCAGACTACCTTGAATAACTTTTGATTAATAATCGGATTTTCATGATCCAGGACTCAATCTCAATGGCTCGGCGAGTAAACTTTAAATATGCTAATTAATAAGTACAGATGATATTTTAAGTTACGAAATCAGACACAAAAATATACTTTCTCTGAATAAGCGTACCTTTTTTTCCCGACGGATTCGAATTCCTGACCCCCAAGATATGGGGGGGGGGGTAGCCGTAATTATGGGAAATATGGTCCCAATAGTTAGGACATAAGAGAGCTCCGAAGTTTAGACCCCTTAATGTTAATTTTACGTTTTGCGTATTTCACTATATCTCGAGAAATTTTTTTGCGATTTGAATTGAAAAATTGTTGCCCACAATTATAAAATTCGTTTATCCAAAGATAATTCTATTTAAAAAATAACATTCAGTAAATATTTATTATTTTAGGTATAAAAAAAGGTATAAAAAAATTGAATTGCAAGGCATGCAATTTTTTTCATAATTTAAAAGAATATAATTTTGCATGATTAAAAAACGAAATTTCTGCAAAATCAGTTGAATAGTTCCTGGCAAATTTAATTTTAAAAAAGTCAGATATTTAAAACGTTTTTATGTAATGCTCTAAAGTATTGTGATGAAATTACAAAATTTTATCACATTAATGAAATTTTATCACAGAGTGTAAAACCATATTCTGTTGGTTATTTTACCGAAATCGTTACCAAAGCCTTTTGGTAAAAGTCACCGAGCTGTTTGGTGTTCCTATAGAACTAGAAACACGCTAAATTTTACCATATTCTGATAGTTTTGACAATACTTTTTTCTTCGTCCATATTTTAACTTAACTGGTCCAGTCTAGTTAATTTTGCAACTACTAATTTTAAATTCAAATATATTTTATAGATTTTTTTGAATATTCGAAAAGAAAACTAGCGTGTTTGCTTTTATGATTACATTAAAATAATAGGTGCCCGTGAATGATATCTGGACGTGATGGCTTTGTCTTAACTTTTTTTTCAGCATTGGCATTTCACAATGACAGACTTATATACCGTCAATTTACATTACATTAGGTGCATTAAACTATTAACTATTATGATAGAGCTATGATAGATGTGACAGTAGATCATTTCACCGGTGATGACATGAATCTCCACTTAAGATAAATGGCTTTCAAACGATAAAGTTGTAATTTCATTCGTTTCTACCTTGTACAGCATTTTAGGACTCTAATTTCTTTTATTTTTCTTTCTTTTTTCTCTTTTCACTGATTATTTCAATAGTAGAACACGTGTTATCCATTTCAATCACACAACATACTGTTAAAAGACCTTCTTTTATTTGATTTGATAAGAAGCTGATCTCAGTTGCATCTTTTTGCCAAAAATTTAGAAAGGTTTCGTCAATTTGCCTTGGTCGTTAAAAAAAAAGAGTATCTTCATTTGTCTAGTTGATAAACGGATCTGTAAAAACCGAAAAATTGAAATTCATCTTGATTACATTCTTTCTTTTTTCTTACGTATTTTATGTTTGAAAAACTTAAACTAAGATTGAAAAACTTAACATAAAAAATTTAAAAAGAATATATTAAAAGAATTTATGAAAGTTTAAAATAAACAAGTTCAGCAAAGAGTGTTGTAATATATTTTAAAATATTAGTAATACATATTTTTTGCATTTTTCAATATGTGCCAATGATCAATAAAAAGTATTAACATCATGTATTTTTCAATGTGTTTTTAATAAACAAGTTCTAAACAACAATTTAATAAACAAATTCTCACTAAAAAAGCTGGTGACAAAATATCACATTTTGTTTCATTATTGTTAAAATCAAATTTCTTAAACTTATAGGATGCAATGAAGTTTGCAATTGTGGATGAAAATATGCGGAAAATTCATGGAATATTATAAAATAAATTTAATCCTTACTAAATGCTATTTAAAAGGCATAGGCAATTTTCCGGTAATCTGTTCATTTAATCTACAAAAAGTAGATGAAATTAATAAGAGAATATAAATGCGTAAGTTGATTGTATTTTATATACCTTTAAGCTTTATACAAATAACATATCTTAACTTTAGCTAAGTTAATTACCGTTATCTTTTAACAGTTCATGAAAGCTCATTTCTTAAACTCATATTTTTTTCACAGACTGGCTTAATTAGAACTGGAAATGAAGAATACTTTATTGAACCTATTGCAAAAGTTCCTTCAAACATTTCAACTGGTCATGCACACGCCATTTACAAAAAGTCTTCTCTAGAAAAAGCCCAGAAGTCAATTGGAGGAACTTGTGGAAATGTAGGTAAGCTAAACTCATACTACAATTTTATCTTTAAATTCATAACTCCTATTTTTTCTTTTCTAATAGTAGGGGTACATAAATTTAAAAAAAATTGGAAATAAAATAGAAACACCTACCAATAACAGCTAAAAATTTTACTGTTTTTTTTTAATAACAGTCCAGTAAAATATGCTTCAGAAAATTAACTATAATACAGATTTATAATTGTTCTTCTACTCTTCTCTTTACGCTCCCCTTATATAATTTTATAACGGATGTTGAACAGCTGACCCAATTCTGAGTTTACGACTATCAATGTTCAACTCCGCAGCCTTGGAATTTTGAACCCAATCTAAAAGACAAGGGAACTGCTGGATCAAGTATGGCGACACGCTAGCCTTCGTAGATGATTTTTTGATGGAACTACCTCGAATTTGCGTTACATGGAGAGGAAAACTTCCCATAGTTAGCCCAACGGCTAGGGGATTCTAACCCATGATCCGTCCATCACTGAGGATTTGTTTTCTTAAGCGTTGTGGTTGGGGCGAGCTAAGAGCAGAAAATGTATCAACAAGCCAGCTCTGAGCTTTGAACCTGGGTCACCTCATTGGAAGGTGAACGCTCTACCCCTTGAGCCACCGCGGTTCTCCTCTTTTTTTGAAAGAAATGGGGAGGATTTCAGGGGGAGAATTGGACTCTTTCTATACAGACTAGTGAGGCTTTGCTTCCGGTGTATTTGTCTACACTAAATTAAATGAGACCAGTTTTGGGACGATAAAACTACTAGAAGTGTTTTATGTTAAAAAAGTACAATATTGTACTTGCACTTATTTACACATCTTAAATTGCTATACAGACAATTGAGATGTTGTTTCTTATGTTTTTTTGGATGCATTTAAACGAATGAGATATAACACGAGTCAATAGTACTAATATTTCAAAAATTGAAATGGGATTTTTTGTTTAATGAGAACTATTTTTTAAATTGTGCTTGTTCTGAAAAACCCCTTTTTACTTTCCAATTTAGTCCGATCATCTCGTGGTTGGTCTTATTCAATTCAGCAGACAAAATTTCTCCCTTGTTGTCAAGATTGAATTTTATTCCCCACTTCAAATCATCCCAATTTCTCTTTAAAAAGGGATAGCATACAGAGACTAACAGTGAAGTTTATTAGGTATCATTTATAATAACATAAGATTGCAAAAAAAATTCTAAGTCATTCATTTTTCCGAAGAAATACTCATACTATAACTGGACTGTAATGTTATAATTTCAGGTTGAAATTTGCGCATCCTACAAAAAAATAGAAGCAAGCTTTGTACACAAAAATTATGAAAAAAATCGTTGTTACTATTACCAAATTTTCCTTCCATCTCTTTCGTGTCTATTAGTATTTGAGGGACTATCTTGCAATCGAAATTGATGCCTATCAAGAGTGCTCAACTTTCAATTAAATTTAAAGAAAATGATTTGTGGAATTTTCGAATGAAAGATTGCGTAGCAATTTTCGGGGGTTAGCGAGCGTTAGCGAGCAGGGGGCGCAGCCCACTAGTTATTAACAATTTTCAGTAGTTTCAGCAAGTCACTGATGGTGTTTAGAATTCGAAGTAAATGTTATTTTGCTTTCTAAAATAAAGAAAAAAAAATTTTTTAAAGAAAAATCCACTAATTATAATCAGGTAAAAAATTTATCTAGTAGAATTCCATATTTGTTTGGTTTTTGAAATTATATGTTGAAATTAACTATTTTTATCCAGTAATGTTTATTACGTTATCTTATTTTTCTTAAAAAGAATAATTTGAACTAAAATTATTCTATAATATATTAATCTTTGGTATTATTTATTAAATTAAAACTTAGATAAGGATACGAAATATAATATAAATTAAAAGAAAATCGTTAAAAAATGAATACATATCTTACCGCCAAAAATATCTAACAATATGCTAAAACTAAGATAATTTATATTAGAATTTTTACTCGATTTTGAATTATCCTCCTATTTTATATTCGAAATGTTATTCAGCAGAATTATTTTATGAAACATGCATGTTCGTATTTTAATTTCATAAACTATTGATGATTTAACGCTAGTTTTTGATAAACCTAATGGAAAGTATTTCTTTGCAGCTGATGATTTTATAAAGTTTAAATATCAGGAAGATAAAGATAATAGTTTCTCATTGAAGCGGCGAAGGAGAAAGAGATCAGTAAGTACGGAGAGAAATGTTGAAACACTGGTTGTTGCTGATAAGATGATGGTGGATTATTACTCAGAAGAGGATATTGAGACTTACATACTTACAGTAATGAATATGGTTAGTATTATTGTTATTATTTTTGTTCACTGCTTAAAATTATGGTGTTATTTTATTTCATAGATGATTACAAAGATGTTAAAAAAGTAGTGTGTAAAAACTTGTAATAATAATAATAGCTGTTTTCGATTTTAAGTTAAATTTTTTTTTAAAAATTTGTCACTATTTATTATTTAAAATTAAACTGCAGAATGAAAAAGCTCACGCAAAAAAAAAACACTGAAAACAAATGAAAAAAAAGCTTAATTCTTTCAACGACAAATATTTGTGGGAACTTTTTTTCTAATTTCGCTGAAAAACGGAAAAATTACTAAGACCTGAGTAGTTAACTTATTAACTCTTTCCCTGACGGATTTTTTTTCTTCGAATTTCTGACCCAAAAAAAAAGCATTTTTTTTATTGCTGAAAATTAATGTATGTTCTATTTAAAATTAGAAAAAGAAAATATTTTTGTCAGCAAGCGGTTTTTTGCGTTACCTATTGGTGACTAAATGTGTGATGTCCCGTCCACAGATCTCCAGTTTACCCTGCAATGCATCCACGTTTTTTCTTTAAAAAAAAAAAAAAAACACCTTGATTACATTTATTAACTCTCTTGCTATAAGGTTTCTTAGATAAAAATCTGCATAAAATAATTATTAAAATTTGGTAAAAAATATTTTGGTGAATAATTTTTCAACCTTACATCTAAAACAGCTTCTCAATCAGTCTTGGGCATCAGAGCGTAAAAATCTTATTTATCGCAGAGCCATCATAACTATTTTGGCATGCAACGGTAACACGAATGAAAGTGATATTACGCTTTTATATATTTTTATTAATTATATTAAATTAATTCGTTTTTTGTTTAGGCTGTTTTTTGAAGGCTCTGTCGTAACATGAAGTGTTTTTTTTTGAGTAATATGCTATTTTTATAACTGCTGTGTTGCAACTGTTACTGATGACTGTTATGCCAAGTTTAGGTTATCTAAAGAAAGCGCTGTCAACGCTTATTTTGAAAATGGTGTAAAACGTCAATATGGAGAAAAACCACAGTTTTGTAAAAATGAAAAACGTTTGTGGTCAAATTTTTTTATATTTAAAAATTTACTCCAATACTGCATTAATTGGACTCATAAAAATTTGCAAAAACTGAGAATAAGTCATTGATTTTGATTTGTCTGTTCAAAAGCACAGATTATTCACGACAATATTATGTATATAGTTAAAAATCATCGCATTTCTTCGAGTGTAAAGTATATAAACTATTGCTTTTTTATTTTTCTTGGTGACAGAACTTCGAAAAACAGCGTTGAATACAACACAAAAATGTAATCACCACTCTAAGAAACTCCTTTCTAAATTTAAAAGTAATTTGAAAGTGAAACAGATATAAACTGCCTTCAACTTGGAAAGCAAATATATATGAGTCCAATAGTAATATCTGTGTTGATACGAGTCCAAAACTGATACAGAATACGTGACTTTCTTTTTCCGTCCCTACATATAGTGTTCTGTCTGATCCTATTGCAGCGACAAATATAGATAATTACAAATTCTGGTAGAAGTTTCTTAATATTTTAGGGAGTTAAGAAACTTTAGCTTTAAAAATATAAGCTGCTTACAAAAACAAAATTTCATTACGTGCCAACTTATTTGATAAACATACAAAAAAGAATAAGTTATATGAATACAGATCATCCATAACATGAGTTCAAACCCAAAATATTGTTCTTTTTTAAACGTTTTTTGGTAGTTTCTTTCTCTGAGCTCTCCAAACACGTATTAATTTTGTTGAAATAACATGGTTGTTATTTTATCATTTAACTCGTTATGACAAACGTAGTTTTATTTACGCCGCTGCTAGTTAGAGATTTAATATGAAAAAAAAAGATATTCCTCTTTTTAATCATCTTATTTTATCTATTTTATTATTATTCTACCTTTCATCATTTTCTTATGATTGTTATTACTTATGATGTTATTACTTAATGATGATGTTATTACTTAATAATATGATTGTTATTACTTACTTTAAATCATTATAATGAACTGATTATTATTAATATTATAATATTAGTTATCATTGCTACTAAATGTTATTATTCTTGTTATTAATTATCACTTATAAAGTAAATGATATATAGATTTCCAAAGTCAGTTATATTTGTTAATTTAATCGATGTTTCTATCACAAAAAATTTTGGTGAGTTTTACAGAAAAAATTATTTTTTAAAACGAAAAGAAGCCATTTATAAATAGAGCTGTAATAGAAAATAGAACATATGATTTTGATAACTCAAAAAATTTAAGTAATTTTAATGAAATTGTTAATTATATTCAGTTTATAAATATGGAATAAATTCGTCCACAATGATAACAAGTTTTTTTTACGTTAATTATGAAATAAAATAAAGTGACTCACCAATCTCAATGGCTTGTTTAAAAAAAAATCCAAATTTATAAGTTTTGTTATCCATAAATGATGAGAAAAATTATATAATTAAATAAAATGAATTCATTTGATAACAATTATTTTATTTGTCGTATTGTATTCTAGGTCTCTTCTTTATATCACGATGCCAGCATAGGCAATGCTATAAATATCGTTTTAGTAAGATTAATTCTTATTGAAACTGAAGATCAGGAGGTAAATATAATTTCATTTATTTTTCGTTTAATTCCGACGTATACTCAGAAGTACCTTAAACAATAATTCTCGTAATAAGACCCAAAATGTACGGTATTTAAACTATTCATTTGGTAATTTTTACGTTCATATGGTAACGGCTTACTAGAAATCCAGATTTTCAAAATACTAGTTCATATTCCGCCCATTTTCTAAGAAAAGAAAACGAAATGAAAAAGTAAATTTAACCTAATAAATGGTTTATATACCATGTTCATGATAAAAGTTTTACGACTTTTACCAAATTTTATCACATACTATAAAAACATATTTTATAGTTTACTTTACCAAAATTACCAAACTTTCGTATTCCCATAGGCCCAAAAACATGGTAAATTTTAACATATTCTAGTAGTTTTGACTAGACTCATCCATTCCAAACTGAAAACTGAAATATGTTCTCTCTGAATGTTAAAACTAGCAAATTCGAAATTTTAACAATTTTAAATTAGCGAGTTAAGTAGTTGATTGAAGTTACCACGTAGTGCAGTAAAAATACATTATTACTAAGTCTGTGTAATTTTGTAACTTACTGTATATTTACTGAAAACTCAATTTCCAGAGAAGCGAAAATAAATGAATTGTTTAAATTATTTTATTTAATGTAATTTAATTTAATTTGCAATTTTGTAAATTTTCTGTAACCTAAAAGACAACTTAAATTTTGGGAATATCAGCTAAACTCCGAACTATAATACGCAAATTCGGTGAAACCTTAATAATGTGTCAATATGGACTATGTTTACATTAGAACTGAAACACAATTTCATGAATTCTGGTTCAAGAAAAATTTATTTTCATCGCAATATGGTTCTACTTTGTACCATTGGTACTACTTTGTACTACAACTCATTCTAAATTTTTTTTAACAATTAGTTGAATACACTGAGAAAAAAGTATTGTCAAAAGTACCAGAATATGGTAAAATTTACCGCGTTTCTGGGTCTATGGAAGAACCGAAGAGCTCTGTAAAATCTTCCCAAGCGCTTTGGTAAAAGCAATATGGTTTTATTACATGTGATAAAATTTTGTAAATGTGGTAAAAATTTTTAATTTTTTCATTGTACCTTAGAGCTTGGCATGAAAACCGTTTATTCGGACAAATTTGCTTTTCAGTTTTGTGTGCCAAGTTTTGTTTTGCTTTTGTATGTTTTCAAAACGTGTGATAATAGGAACTATAATTTTGGAGACGAGAATTTCTGGTAAATTGTTACCATATGTACGATAAATTACTAAAGTACCGTATATTTTGGTTTTATTAACTAGAATTATGTTTTTTTTTTTTACCTATTGTACTTGTTTTACTTACTGCGATTTTACCGATTGTTTTTTTACAGTATTGTTCTTACTATACTAAATGGTAATTTTATCAGAATTTTTTGTCCGTTTAAGAAGCCAAATAAAAAAATCGACAAAAGGAAAAACCCAAAATTAATCACATACAATGTGCATGTATACATTTCTGCCTTATTGTTGCTTCATAGTTACATTTATGCCCACTTCCCTTAATGTTTATTTTTGAGAAAACTTTTATTCACTGTAGATAAAAAACTAGAAAAACCACTTACATAAGTCCAAACAAAAGTTTTTATCTCTGCAAAGTCTCCCATTTTACGAACTATTGAATGAGAAATAAACCTTCTCTGAATAAGTGAAGTGGTTTAAAAAATGAATTTAATGGAGCCGGTTGCTATTGTTCATGAAAGAAAAAAGAAAGTGTCTGGTGGGAATTCAAGTATGAAAACTCCTTTTGTACACCTCGTTTTGTTTCTTTAATTCTAACATTTTGTTTCGATCTTTGAAGAAAAAGGAAGCATTTTCATTTCGAGATTCCACTTCATCTTGTGCCACTGAATATGATTTTTGAAATTGATAGTTAGAACAATAGATACGTTAACTATCAGGTATTTTAGGTTGTAAAATTAATGATTTTTTATTAGACAGCTGCATCTCATATTTTTTCCAATGAACTATTGTTCCTGAATGCAATGTTAAGGTTTCAAGAATAAAGTGTGTTAATAAGTCATCTGCTGTAACTAGTTTTTTGATAGTAACAATTCCTGTGTTCTTGCAATTATTTCTTTTGTTTATCAATTGTCACGTACTTACGGAATTATTCGTATTTATTTGTGAATATAATTTTTAGTACAATTTTATCTGTAATTTTATCTAGTTTTAAGGTATACAATTTTTTACATAATTTTATACTATGCTAATTTTAAATGACAAAATATAAACGACTCATGAAACTTGAAAAATACGACTTTTTTGAAATTTAAATGGAGAGAAACAATTCGGTTGATTTCGTTTAAATTTTGTATTTTGTCATAGAAAAATTACACAGTTTAAAATGAGATGAAAATGTAAATGCTTTATAATTCAAAAATATTTCTATTTTTTTAAAATTAATAATAAAAAACAATAAATTATCTTAAAAATTTACATTTTATTTGATAATAACTTTGGAAAAAAGAATTCTGTAATTGTGAGTTAAAATAATTCTTGAAAGTAGTTTTATAGGTATAGTGTAACTAATATTTAAGGACCCAAATTTTTGACAAATTTGACTTAACTATTGAGACCGGTCGGGATAACTTGATTGGTAGAGCGTTACACCCATGTCAAAGAGGTCGTAAGTTTCATATCCGCCGGCCAAAGACTCCCTGTGTAGTAAATGGTGACGTTAAATCTGTGGGATCACAAAGTCTTCCGTGTTCCCATAACAAATTATACCTCTGGGGGTAGTGAATTGGAGATTGATCGTTCTTTGGTCAAAATTACGATCTGTGAATGAATAAATGGGGCCGCCTTATGAACGGGTTGTGACGTGCGTGTAGCTGAAGTCGTATTCTTGACCATAGATTGCCCCACTGTGAAACAAGAAACGCACCCTCTGCCTTAAATACTCTTGATTTCACCAAACAGGCTTTCTGGACTGACAAGTGACACTAAAAACAACAGCACTATTTTAGGCCACATCTTTCAGAGAGCGGCTATTGCTATATTTTGAAGGTTAAGAAATCGAATACAAAGAAAAATAAAGTATATCATTATTTAGACAAAGTATGATTCTTAGACAGATTTCTTACATAAAAATGCTGTAACCACAGATTCATTAGCATGTATAAGGTTCGTTCATCGAATGCTAATGAGTGTTAGCTAATGAAATGAGGTTTAATGCATAGAAATAAAATTTATTGGGTATTTTTTTGCTTGTTGCGTATATTTATCTTACTTTTCTCTGGTATTTAAAAGCAAAGAAAATATGAAACATATATTAAAAAATTCTTTTTTCCAATTATACTTACTAAATTTTTTCCACAATGCCCACCTGTTTTAACATCCGTTAATTCAGGCAATACCTACTAAATAAAGAAGTGTATTTTCCTTCGTTGTTCGTTTTTCATTCCAACGTAATTAAAAATAGAATGAATGGTTAAATATAACAGGGTCGAAATATTCAGAAAAATTTTAAAAAATAATAAGTTATTGTTATCATAATTTTCAAAGAAAGTCAACGAATGACTCATTTTTCAATGTAATAAAAATATATTTTTTCTTTTTAAATTTTGTATAAGTGATAAAGAAGTGACTTATAAAAAAAATATATGAATAAATATAAACTTAGAAAGCAGCCCAAAATCAAACAAAAAAATAATTTTTGTATGACATTTACACATTTAGGTACACATTTTAGTTTGTTGAAATTCGATCATTAGATCAAACTATATTACAAACATATTATTTAAACAAACATACTATATAGTTTATTTTTTTTATCTCTTGCGCTATATGTATGCACGCTGACCGAAGTATTAGAGCACGTTGGACATTCCTGTTATCGCACATTTTATTCATTCTTTTATTCGATTTCATGATACTGGTTAAATTTGAGCATGATTCATCTTACTATGTTATCGACGTTTCAACAAATTTACTGCTCGGTAGAATGTTCAAAAATTTTAATCGATGATGCTATATTATGCCGAAACTAAAAGAGACAATGCGTGCAACAAAATAATGTCTTTTAAAATACTTTTTTAATGAATATTTTTAAATAACATACAACTCACTAATAATGATAAAAAATCTTAGTTAAAAGATATAAATTAACTTAAAATATGAATAAACGAAAAGAAAAGCAAATTATATATTTTTTAATTTAAACTTACGATAAAATAGACTATGAAAATGTTTGAACACTTATGTTAATCACTTTGTAAAATAAACCTAGAGCCTAAACAATTTTACTTGAACGCTTATAAATTTTAAAGCACTGATTTTCTAGTTTCAAATTAACATTGCACTAAATGTTATTTATCGATATTATAGTGTATAATATTCGAATCGTCGTTTTAGGTAACCTTCTAATTAGAGAATACCATAACTAACATCAATTTTTATTTGTTAAGGTACGCAGAAAAAAAAATTCTAGAAAATTATCGTACTGTATGATAATGGCATACCTAGTAAAAAATAAAATCTTTATTCTATAACATAATTATTTATAAACATAAAATCTACTACATTTAAACCATTTAATTAGTATTTTTTCCATTCATATGCTAACGGTTTACCGAAAATACCACTTTTCAAAATTATAATTCTTATTTCCACACACTGAGTAAAAAAATACAAATTGAAAAATAAATGTAACTGAATAAATGGTTTTTATTCCAGGCTCTAAAGTAACATGACACCATATTTATCCACTTTTATCACATGTTATAAAACCATATTTTATTGTTAATATTACCAAAATCAATACCTAGGCGCTTCTGTAAAAATTTCCGAGTTTTTAGTGTCCTCATAGGGCCAGAAACACGATAAAGTTTGCCATATTCTGGAAGTTTTAACCAGATCATACTTTTCTTTCTCAATGTACAGTGGAAATTACTTTTATAATTAGTTTGTAATATTTTATTCATAAATTGTATGGGAGCTTTTCCCAGTTTAAAAATTTTTCATTTAGCAAATTATGAAGTATAAAATGTATAATGCAAATCATGTGATTTTGTAACTTCAATGCGTAGAAGATTAATTCTTATCTGTTGAAAAAAAATATTTTTTCACTTTGAATTTTACTTTAAGAATTTTTAACGACATTTTTGTTTGTATGAGAATTCTATTTGTTACATATTTATTTATTCATTTGTTAGAATTTTTAGGTCCTTTAGTTTTTATGCGAATTTTATTTATCACGTATTCATTCATTTTATAAGAATAATTCCTTTTTGTTTTTATACGAATTTTATTTGTTACATATTCATTCATTTGTTCATTTAATTTGTTAAAACAAAAAAATCATCAGATAACAGTTTTCTTTAATGAGAAGAATGAATTTTTGTTAGAAATTTTAAGAACTTCTTTGTTATTCTGTCACTTTTATTTGTTACGTATTCATTAATTTATTAGAATTTTAATGACTTTTTTGTTTTTAGAAGAATTTCATTTGTTACATATTCATTCATTTGTTCATTTGATTCGTTGAAACCAAAAAAAATAATAAAATAACAGTTTTAAATCATATGAATGTATTTGTTGGAATTTTTAACGACTTTTTTGTTTTTTTGAGAATTTCATTTGTTACTTATTCATTCATTTTTTAGAATTTTTAACGGCTTTTTTGTGTTTATGAGAATTTTATTTGTTACATTTTCATTCCTTTGTCCTTTTCATTTGTTAAAACTTAAAAAAATAATAAAAATGACACTTTTATTTAACCATAAGAATGTGTTTGACCCTGTATTTGCATCTTTACTACATTCTCAACCAACATTATAAATGTTGAGCAGCAGTAACTTAAAACACTCTCAGAATATTTGCTATTATTACAGACTATTTTTGTACCCTTTTCAGAAGGCTGAAGAACTGAGCATAAGTCAGCACGCTGATGATACACTTCGTAGCTTTTGTCGATGGCAAAAATTTGTAAATCCAAAAGATGATACTCATCCAAACCATCATGATGTAGCTGTCTTACTCACCAGGTATGAATGCGGTAAGCACCATTTTATTAATTTATTACGTTTTTTTACTTATAAAACAGTATTTTTTAAAAATGAACAACGGAAAAAACTAATTTAAGGAAAAATAAGGGATAAAATTAGCTTTAGAAAAATGTAAAGTATAAAAATTAATTTCAAACATTAATAACAGTGCAGGATGATTCGGTCTAAGACTTATTGTCAAAACTATATATCGTCAAGTGCAACTGAGAGTGAAAGTTATGTATTTTAGTATATAGAAACTAAAACTCAAACTATATTTGAAAATACATTTGAAAAAAAAAAGAAAATTGAAGAAAGAATGCACACATTTATGACGCCATGGCTTTGAGAATTTTTTTAAACTTAAATAATATAAATGTAGAAGCATAGAAAAAAAATCATGGAAACTATTTTATTTTAAGCATTCAACTACTTTTGTTCATTAATTAGAAAGTTGTAAAAATATCTTATCTCAGCAGATAAAAATAACTGAACGTATTTTAAAAATTATAACAATTTTTAAATTAAGTAATGAACTAATCTAAAAATTTACAGCAGTTTATGTGGTAAGATTATGTGTTATTTACTTTTTAATTTTAAAAATTATGAAATAATAGTCATACAAAAATTACTTTTTTGTGTGATTTTGGACTCCTTTGTAATTTTTAATTTTTAAATATTTTTTTATAAATCATTTATTTATTATTTACACGAATTCAAAAAGAAAAATTGTATTTTTATTACGTTGAAAAATTGAGTTATTCGTTGACTTCCTTTGAGGATAAGGATAACAATAATGTATTATTTTTAAAAATTTTTCTGAATGTTTCGGCCGTGTTTTATTTAGCAATTCATTCTATTTTTAATTGCGTTGGATTGAAAAACGAACAGCAAAAGAAAATACAATTGTTTATTTAGTAGGTATAATTGATAAAAAAATTTATTTTTAATATAAATTTCAGATCTTCTTTGCTTCCAAATACTCGGGGAAATTAAGCAAAATATACGCAAACAAAAAATGCCCATTTATTTCTATGCATTAAGCCCCATTTCATTACATTTTAAAACTCCATAAGAAGGTTGACATGCTTTTTTTTAAATTAACGCATGTTGGAATATCGATAGAATACAGCCTGTAACGGAAATTTTTATTACTTGTACTTATTTTTTTTTATTTGTGTTTAAAAAGCATATCAATTAAATAAGATATATTTTATTTGCCGCCAAGATGAAACAAATTATTTTAATTTTTTTGCCAATTGAGAGAGAAAGGACAGCGAGTAATTTAAAGGTTGAATCAAATTATAAATATTTATTTAATGACTATTTAAAAAACCAAACCTATATGCAATTAGTTTTTAGTGAAGGCCGTTAACCAGTGGCAGCAAGTCAAAACAAATTTGTGTTTCCTTAGAATATTGAGCACTTTTCTATAAACTAAAGTGATAATACGGAAATATTCTAAATACCTTGTTTTACCTTGTCTATCAAATAATCAGAATATGAAAAGAGCGGAAAATTATTTACGCTTTTCCTTTTACTTTTTTGACACTAGTGCTTACATATAATGTCTAAACAAGGTTATGTATTCTTTGATCACTCTTGATTTAAATTCTTATAATTCACCGCTTATTGTCTAAAGCATGGGTCACCAAACTTTTTTCATCATCAACCCCTATATAATTTTTCGAAATCTCCGTCGACCCCCATAAAAGTAATTTTCCGTTAATTAAAATAAAACTCTATTAGATACTGTGTTTGTACATTTATTTTATGATTTTGAACATTTATTAAAGTAATAGTACATATTGTAACAATAGTTTTATGAAAAATATATTAATGTTGAAATTTAAATACCTTAATATTTATTAAATAATAAGTAATTATAAATAAGTAGAAATAATAAGTAAAGTAACTACAGATTTATTGCTTCTTAACCAATGAGATGAGTGTGCCTGGTGTTTTTTTGCAAGGTTCGCTATATTGGGTTCAAAATTGGTCAATTTTAATTTTAAATCCCCTCGTAACTCCACATTTAATTTATTTCTGTTCTTAGTTAAGATTGAATTTACGTGACTGAAACCGGCTTCAACCATATAGGAACTTGGAAAAGCTAGCATAAAAAGGCTGAGCTATTTCATAAAGTTCTACATATTTTTGCATTATATTTATATTTGTTCAAAATTTACTTATTGTTAAATTTTTAAAAAGCGTCTTTGCTTCAAGATCCGATAATAATTCAGCAAACTCATCTTGCAGGTTGATGTCCACGTTTTTGATGATGCGTTTATTAATTTATGTTCTATAAAGAAACTGATATTAAGTCAATTATAAAAAAAATTCACAAATTTTACATACTCAATTAGATATTTGGGATTTACGTATTAAGAGCTGTTTTTTCTTCGACCCTTCCGATTCGAATCGACCCCCATTCGACCCCCTTGCTTAGATCGACCCCCAATTTTGTTAAATAGACCCTTGGGGGTCTATATAGACCACTTTGGCGACCTCTGGTCTAAAGATATATTTCAAGCTGAAAATTTTCTGAATAAAACTAATAGCAATATTTCGTTGGCTCAGCTTTGTAATTTAGTTTTGTGATGGATTTAATTTTAATTATTAAAATTATTATGCTATAAGTAGAGGAATTAAATTGAGTAAGTCAATAAATTATAATTATCTTAAATTAACCCGTGATATTTGAAGTATGTACTATTTAAAATATCACATATTATTTGAAACAAAATCTAGAATGTGGTCTTATAAATAAGATCACTGTTGCTTAATGATATTACTTGCTTATTTTACTAACAAAAGTATTAAATAACGTTACACATAAGGAAAGGTAAAAAAACACTTAAAAGTGTAGTCAAAACTATCAAAGTATGGCAAAATTTACCATGTTTCTGAAATGCATGGACGGCAAAGAGCTCGGTGATTTTTGCCGAAACACTTTGGTTATAACTTTTAGTAAAATTAAGAACAAAATATTGTTTTATAATGTTTGATAAATTTTTGTATTTTTATCATGATACCTTTTGAGCATGGCATATAAACCCTTAATGCAGCTAAATTTTCTTTTCAGTTTCGCATTTTTTATAAAGCCTGAATAACTTTTTATCTAATGATCGAATCTGCACGTTCTAGGACTCCATCTTAATGGATCGAGAAGGTGACCTTAAATATGCTAATTAATTTGAGCAGACGTTATTTTAATTTACAAAATTAGACACAAAAACGTAATTTCTCTTCTTTTTTTGACAGATTCAGATTTCTGGCTCTAAACATTGAGGGTTAGCCGCAATCTGGGAAATATGGTTCCAATAGTTTGGTCAGAACAGTGCTCCAAAATCTTAACCCCTTAATGTTAATTTTACTTTTTGCGTTGTGTCTCAAGAACTTTTTAACAAAATTCAAAAATTTTTGCAGACAATTGTAAAATTCGTTTACCCAAACATAATTCCATACGAAATATAACTTTTAATATATATTTATTATTTTATACAATAATGGTTGAAAATTTTTTTATTGTAAGACGCACAATTTTTGCATCAAATTATATTCTTTAAAACGATAAAAAAGAATTGTATACCTTACAATTCAAAACTTTCCGACCATTATTAAATAAAATAATAAAAAATAATAAATATATTTTAAAATTTATCTTTTTTCATGGATGTATCTTTGAATATACATATTTTTAGATTGTGTGCAAAATTTTTTCAATCCGGTTATAAAGTTCTCGAAATATAGCGAAATACTCAAAAAGTAGAATTAACATTAAGAAATCCAAACTTTGGAGAGCTCTTCTGATCAAACTATTGAGGCCTTATTCCCATTTTCCGCTACCCCCTATATTTTGTTGGTTGGATATCCGAATACTTCCAAAAAAGGTATGTTTATTCAGAGAAAGTGCGCATTTGTATCTGATTTCGTAACTTAAAATACCGTCTACACAAATTAATTAGCATATTTAGGGTCACACCCACGAGCCTTTAATATTGGGTCCTAGAACGTGAAGATTTGATCATTAGATCACGAGTTATTAAGGGTGGTTAATTTTTTTTGGCCCACTGTACAGATTAAAATCCACAGATTCAAATTTTTATCTATTGAAGGTAGGGAATTGATCTATATTTTCTTCCACAGATAACACCATTTTTCTCTGTTTATAAACACTTTGTATGATATTAAGTGCTGGATGTTTATCATAGGTATAACATTTGTACGAAAGCAAATGAACCCTGCAGTACTTTAGGATTGGCAGAAGTGGCGGGAATGTGCCAGCCTCACAGAAGCTGTAATGTAAATGAGGATACTGGTCTTGCATTAGCATACACAGTTGCTCATGAAATGGGCCACAAGTAAGAAGAGTTTTTTTTTTTTTACATCATTTGTTCATGATTTTATTCACTCTAATCCCAGAGTATGTAAAGAGATGATACATTTTTCATCAATGCGCATTAAAATGGCAGCACTTTGGTCATAACGTTTTTAGCGCCACACTGCGGCAAAAACCTTCAGTAGTTAGATTGAGGAGTTTATCCTTTTCTTTTCTTTTTAATTGGATACCTTCAAGTGACATCATCGTAGATAAATTGTGGCGTTTGTCGATTCAGAAGCCAATCAGGTTTCCCACACGCGTGACGTCGCTATCAGATATCCAGTTGAATCTGATTTAAATCACATGGTTAGGCATAATCACTTCACTTCTAATGGTGTTGAATGTTTGAATTTCTTTGTAGTCTTCTATTTATTTGTTTTATTTTAATTTTATGAAATGCTTAGATGTTAATTCTTTAACGATGTCGTGTGTTAATGAAAAACTCAACTTGTAGTTTACTTTGTAAAAGTACATTTTGCAAAGTAAATTACGATTTATTTTAAATATTTTAATTTCTCTCCATTTTTCATTTACTTGAATTCATTTCCATGTTTAATTGACTTGCACCATTACTCATTTTAAAGTAAAAAGTTCATTAAATAAAAAAGCACCATTAACGTAGATTTTTTTTAATTGTCTCTGATTATAGAAGAATATATCATATAACAGAATGAAATAAACAAGAATAAATAAAAATAGGACAAAAACACAATTTTCATAAACTGCTGTTTGTAGAAAATGCAACACCATGAAAGAATCATCAGAATCAAATGAAATTCGCAGCAAATGTCAATTATAGGATATTATGCAAATTAATAAAGTTTCAGAGCCATCNGCGCGTGGTGGCTGCACCAAATACTGATTTCGGACGCTTAATTTGTTTCTTTTGTTTTGAAAATTTCATCATTTATTTGTATCAGTACAAGTCGTTTCTGCATTAAATTTCATTTGATTCTGATGATTCTTTCATGGTGTTGCATTTTCTACAAACAGCAGTTTATAATCAAGCCGAAATCGAAGTTTAAAGATTCGAAACTAATTTGGAAACTTTTTTTCTTCTTCACATAAATGAACAATAGGACAAAATTTCGTAACGTTAATAGTATAAATTCAAGCAATTCTATCTCTATTCAAGATTTTTTATTGGAATAAAGCAAAAAACGGAAGAATCTAAGATTAGAACTAATCACACTCAGGAAAGTACATGTCCTTCCTTCATGTGAAAAATATAATTACCATTATTGAATATAATAATTCAGAAATAAACAAAAATATGGCAGGAATACTAAAAAATATCCGTAGAATGTTAACCATTTAAATCTACGGAATCAACTAAAGTTTCTTTTTAGTATTGCTAGAGGGCATTGCGGCCCGTACGGTCAGAAGAAACTTTAAGAAAAGCGTCGTTATGACGTCAAAGGGGCTCGTCCTTAAGTTATACATTTTATGAATTTAATATTATATTTTCAACAAAACATTAGGAACATAAAATTTCACTTTTTATGACACGCGAGAAAAGTGAAGAAATTTTTAAGCTATTGTTTACGACGTATTTGATTGAAGGTGAATCACTATTCACACTATTACTAATCGTTCACTAAAAACGGAAATAAAACACAATGATTTAGAAGTATTTTAAATTGAAATTTTAATTTTTTGACTAATTATTTTAAATTTGAAACTTTACTAATTTTATTTTTCTTAAATTTAAGTTAAAAAAATACATAAATTGTTTTTCATTTATTTCGATTTTTAATTTTTCCTTATTTTATTATCACAAGATATATCTTTAAATTGTGCTTATTTTCTTCTAAGCTTTGGAATGGCACATGATGGACCTCATAATGGTTGCCAGGCTCCCTTTGGAGAAAGACAGCATGTTATGTCCCCCCATCTAAATTCTGATACGAGCCCACTTATTTGGTCTAACTGCAGCAGAAGTGAAATAACGAAGTTTTTGGAGTAAGTACGTTAATTTCGAGCAATATTATTTCATTTGATTCCAATTATTTGTTCAAAAACTTTTTTTTTTAATTAAAAGGACATCATTATTTTTAATTAATTATAGTATTTATTCTTTAAATTTTAATTTTTCTTAATTTTTCCGAATAAAATGTTTTTTTATATTTTTAAAAATATTTTCAGTGAGCAAAATTCTCTTATTAAGGATGCCAACGCGAAAAAAATCCTTAAAATTTATTTACATAATGTGTGACTGATTAATATTCCTTTTACTTAGGATCAAGTTGTATTGATTTTGTTGACTTTTTTGGTAACACTCCGTGTCCTTAATAAAATAATAAGTGTGCTCATACGTTTTTGAAAGTTTTTATTTAAGGGCAATAAGTATGAATTAAAGCTACAAAACTGCTCTTATTGGTAGATCTTTACCCGTGTTAGTGCACCGTAAGGCTCGGTTTTCAAATGTTAGATTATAAATTTTTATTTTAGATTATAAATTTTTATTTGCATAACGTCTTATTTTAACGAATTTTTGATTGACATACTGATGATTTTAAAACTTTCAACTGCAATCGACAAAATTTTTAATCGAATAAAACGGAAAGTAGTTACACTTGTAATCTATCCTTATCACACCGCAAATAATCAAAATGAATTATATCATTACTAAATTTTCTTAACTTAGAATTCATAATGACGTAATATATTTTCATGCTTTTTTGTATTTTCTTCATTTGAAATCTGATTTGTTGCACCTGATACACTACCTGACAAAAAGTATTCAAATATCTAGTGGTGCAGACTTGTGGTGTTTTGAGGCTTATAATAATATGATGGTTCTCCTTTTGAATCGATTGCAGGCTGCACACGTCTGGAGAGACTTTCCATTAGTTTTAAATTGGTGACCATGAGAATTGTATTCCAGGCGCACATCGTAGTTGAAGTGAGTGCTCACAGTAAAGTGACTCCTCATTCTTAGATCGAAATCGTCCCAAAGGTTTTCTTTGGGCATTAGATCGGGGCTCTGAGAATTCGAGTTCAGAAACATCCATTTCATCAAACTATGGCTGTTCAAATCTCGATATGTACAAGGAGAAGTTATCCTGCCGGAAGAAAGTTGGGCTTTATCCGAAATATTGCCAAATAGATGGAAAAACAGTAATGTCCTGAAGGTTCACGTATACAGAGTTCATGTTTCCATCCATAGAAGTTAAAGAACACAGGCCAAGCTATTAAAAAATTCTCACATTATGATGTTTTAAGTGGATATCTAGACATTTTGTCTCGACAGTGTATGTAGGTACTAAGGACCTCATTTTGACCAAAATAAGTATTAAAGAGATTGATATCGGGATGATGGTACATACAAAAAACGGATTCTTAAATTACCCTTTATGAATAACAATTAATTATTAAATTAATTAGTAAATTTTAATCATTAAATTAATAAATCTTATTCCTAGTCTAATAGCGATACCATAAGAATTTCTGAAATTGTCTATGATGATATAGAATCCATGTAACGCATGTTTACCTCAAATATAGCAACGTATTAAAAGATTAATTTTCTTTTCACATGTGCAGTAGAGATTGGGGAACTTGCTTAGATGATGAGCCATCTGATCATGAGTTTTATTTTCCCGAGCTTCCTCCTGGTGCAATGTATGACGCGAATCATCAATGTCGACTACAATATGGACCAGATGCAGAACATTGTGATGGAATTGAGGTACAAAACATGTTATTTTATATATTTTTACTCTAAATAGTATTATTATATATTATCAAACTAAATAATTTTATTACTTCGAAATCGTTTCAAAGGTGTCTCTATGGGAACTATTCTACGGATTTATTCTATTGAACTGTTCTATTCACGCTAAATAATTTTATTTATAGGTCTTAAAGTAAAGTTTTTTCAATCAGATGCTTTCTTATATAGCTTATTATCATTATTATTTTATTTTAGTTTATTTTTTTTCCTGCTTGAGAATTTTAACAGTTCTTGGATATTTTCACATCGCTGATTTCAAATCTGTAATCGGTTTCTATCTACAAGCTACTGTGTTTTTTTTTTCAATTGATATTTTTACTCCAGTTTTTGACCAAATATACAAGTTTAAAAGCGTTATATATAACAGGAGGTCACACAAATGTTGTGACAAACTTCGAAGAGGCTTAGCACATTATCAGGATTAAAACTGCATAGGAATCCCTGTCGTCATACCCCGCTAGAGGCGCTTACCTATTTTCAGCACTTTTCCCATGCGCTTCTTAACAGTTCATAATAGGTAAGTGCCCCTAGCTGCGTGCAACGACATTTCCATGCATGGTGTTCCTATGCAATTTTAATTCTGATGATGTGCTATAAATCCCCTAAAAGTTTATCGCAATATTTACGAGACCTTCTGTAATACATAACGTTTTTAAACTCATGCATTTCGTCAAAAAATAGACAAATGTCATTTAAAACGTCTGCAGCTTTTGGATCAAAGTTAGTTTTAAATTTGAAATCCTCACGCCCGAATTTGGCGATCTCAAGTATTTGTATTAATACATCAAAAAATGTGTTCCCTAGAAATGGTTCTATTTCTTTAGAGGAGGAAGAAAAATTATATTTTTGCAAAACATCCTTGTAAATTAAATTTCCACTTAATTAAAATATCCTTTCAATACAAACTTGAAATAATATAATTATTTGTCCATGATTAAATGTATAAGATTGAAGTCACGAATTAATTAGTTGAGGTTGTTTTTAAGTTTATATAAGTTATATTGTGTTCATTTAATTGTTATTAATGAGTGAATCTAAAATAAATATTCTTGCGTGATTGTGTAGGATGCGAAATAAAATANTGCGATTGTTCCTGTTTTTCAGTGGCGCCATCTGTGTCCAGGAATTCAACTTCAGCCACGCCATTCACACAACCACAACCCGTTTATAGGGCGGGTCACATTCACACACAAAGGAGAAAGGACATGGAACACACAGAGAGAGAGAGAAAGGAACATCCATGCCTTGCCCGGGATTCGAACCCAGGACCTTACTGGTGCAAGGACAGTTCCCTGCCCCATACACAGGCCGGTCAGCTATAAATCCCTTAAAAGTCGTTTTTAAACTCATGCATCTCGACGAAAAATAGACAAAAGTGATTTTAAAAAATCCGCAGCTTTAGGAGCAAAATTAGTTTTAGATTTGAAATCCTCACACCAGAATTTGGCGATCTCAAGTATTTGTATTAATGCATCAAAAGATTTGTTCCCTAGAAATGGTTCTATTTCTCTAGAGGAGGAAGAAAAATTATATTTTTGCAAAATATCCATTTAAATTGAATTTCCACTTCATAAAATATCCTTTTAATACAAACTTGAAATATTATAATTATTTGTCCATGATTAAATGCATAAGATTTAAGTCACGAATTAATTAGTTGAGGTTGTTTTTAAGCTTATGTATATTGTGTTAATTTAATTGTTATTAATGAGTAAATCTAAAAAAAAATATTCTTGCGTGATTGTGTAGGATGCGAAATAAAACACTTCCACGCAGTAAGTGCAGACTTCAAATCAATTGTGCTTGAAATGAAAAATTAATCAACACAATAATTACCTATAAATCAAAATGGCCCACTTCATAAATTATTACTGAAAGAAACAAGGCCAAGAAAATTGAGACATTCTTGATAAGGAAGTAAATCGATTTTTTTCTTATGAAATCTTAAAAGTATTTGCTATTGTCTTATGAAATACAGTGTCAAATCATTTATATCTTTTAATAACTTGATGAACCATGTGGGTTAAAAATTATTTAAATCTAAAATGAGGTACTTTATAAGATAAGTATATCCAAGTTATTAAAAAACAAAATTGTAGTAATGAATTCAATTAAATTAATATATCGTTTATCAAATAAATGGAATATCATATTCTTGACCGCATTTTTAACACCTACTTTTAAATGTCAGATATCAATGTTGGGTGTGATGTCTCAATTATGAATTGATTTCAAATTTAAAGCTGAACAAATTTAGACATGGCTAGAATTAGAAAAGCTAACCATTGAGTTATATTGTTGCATTTTATTTCTGCTATGGAATTTATCAAGAATTGCCTACATTTTTCTCTTTTTGTTGTGGTAGTTTTTACAGAAGTAGTTGCGTAAAAAATAACTTACCGTCCAAGGTGAATTCATTAATCACATTTTTAAAATAGCGTATATATTTGTTTTGATGTTATACTATGTTTAGAATAGTTGGAAAAAATTAAGCGCTTGATAATATTTGATACAAATTCATCTTTGGAAACCCCAGTTTAAAAAGGGCTGTAAAGTTTTTTTCTTCTTTTTTTACATTTTAATTTTTATCCATTTTTTAAAAATTTCAAAGGAGTATACACTTTATGTCATTCTCGTTGTGCGAGATAGTTTTTTTTTGTTCAAATACAGGTTTTAAAAACAATAGCATGTTGCACCAAAAAGGTCTTATAAATGGAGTTTTACCATTTTATTAATGATAATAATCTATTAACGGAATTTTGCATGCAAGAACTTTGTGTGCAACATAAAAGATACTTTTATTACACAAGTTAAATTTGCATATAAATTACATGAAAATTAATATTTTTTTATTTAGCCGAGTATAAAAAAGAATTTAATTTAAAAGAAAGGAGCTATTTAAAATTTGAACAAAAATGCGTGTAATCAAAGCAATGGGTGAAGCACTTTTTTATTTTATTTTTATTTCCAATGCAGCAGGCGATACGGACATTATCCTAACGCCGTACAGAGATCAAAATAAAACAAAAATACAAATACAGAAGGAGATGAAATATACAAAATACAAAAACAAAAGCAAAACATCAAACTCAGAAATTAATTCAAGAACTTAAATTGAACAAAAGTTCTCTGGCCTCCCAGTATCGGGAGTAGATGCAGTTCTTTGTCAGAACTGAACAGTTTAGAAGATGTCCAGCATTCATCGTCGCACCACTGCGGCAGAGGGGGCAGGCAGGATTATCCACTATTTTAAGACGGAAAAGATGGTCGTATAAGCAGTCGTGCTTGGTAGCAAGACGAAAGGCAGCTACAGCACTGCTTCTTGGGCAATCGGGGAGATTAAAGTTGTCATTTCCCCAAGATTTTTCTTTTGTTCGTTCCTTTAGCAATGATATATGTGTTGTTCAAAAACAGAGAGATCTCGGCTGCAGAGTTGTTACTCATTTAGCATCACCCAGGAGGCACGTGTAGCTTTAGGGATGCTACGGACGCGAGTAACTTTGCCTCCCTGTAGCGAGTAACTTTTTTTCTTCTACGAATAATAGTTAAAATATGATTTTCTTTTCACTTTAAAAAAGTTAACTTTTATGGAAAATAAAGTAATTTATTAACTTTATTTAAATACTACTTTAATTAAACTAATTTAATTGAAAACTATTTTATTTAATTAAAAACTGCTTAAAATTTAACTAATTTTTAATCGCTAAAATGCTTTCTAAAGTGCATTTTATATTCATCAACAAATATTGATCCAAAGAAAAAGGAAACTAATTGATATTTAATCGGGCTATTTGAAAGTTTTATTTAGGAAAAGGCTTTAAGCTTTAAGAAAATTAATGATATCCATGACTCGTCCAAATGTTCACGAATATCCAGTTTTTCTGACAAGAATAATCATTTTTTTTAAAGTTTAAGAGTTCTGAAATTTTTAGCTTTGCAAAACTAATGACAAGTTTATGATTTTTAATGAATTAAAGGAAAGCATCAAATCGGTACCATAACATTTTGATAAATGGGAAATATAATAGAAATGCTCTTAATGTAAAGAATAGGATTTTGTAATTTAAAATATTATGTAAATGATGTATTAAGTAAGTTTTACTTTCTTATACATTTATTAAACGATTTTACTGAGTTGTAATACACTCACACAAATTTATATTTTGAAATTTAATTTTACCCTAAAAAAGATAGATACATTAAATTTTCTTTACTTTTAAAAGTAAAGTAATATGTCGTAAAATTATAGAAATCTATTTAAAAAAATTTTTTTTCATACGTAAAAAAATTTTGTGTTTCAAAATGATTAAGAACTAAACGTTTGACGGAAATAACGCGATTTTTCTGAAGGGAGGGGGCAACTCAACTAAAAAATTTTAACTAAAGTAATCCCTTTTGAATAGCGCATTTTTTTTAAAATTTAAAAATATTTATTTTTAAAGGAACAATGTAACTCTCTATTGCGAACTTTTTAAAATGTTCTTACTACAGATAATTTTGACATAAAACCTTTTGGTTACAGGATGTTTGTCAAACACTTTGGTGTCGCCAAGACAATAAATGTGTAACTCGCTTGGAGCCTGCTGCAGAAGGGACTCTCTGTGATAGAAACATGGTAAGACACGAAACATCTATTTTTCCATATCAAATAATAGAGTTAATGTATTATACATGTATATATATATAAGCAAAAATTATTTTGTGTTCCATTATCTCTTAATAAAATGTCACTTTCAAATGCAGTATTTATTATCATACTTACTAATGAAATAACCTAATGTATAATTTCAAATAAATTACATGGAGGAAAGGTGCCTTATATGTGACGGTTGCGACGCACTATTGTTGACGAAAGATATGGTAGAGGTGAAATGATCAACCAAAAACAGTATAAAACACATGGTAAAGATTATATGAAGATTATTTTTTAATAGGTATAAATGTCAGATAAAAAAAAATAAAGATGTTCTACCTGTAATATTGCAATTATTTTTGTGGCCCCTGTTAAGTCAAAATGACATAACTACTATAAATTTGAAAAATACATTAAAACCATTTAATAGGAACAATAAAATTGCTTTAATTTTATCTTAATCATAAAAATTCTTTTTTTTTTCTTCTTCTTTTTTCTTTTAAGCAGAATTAATAATGAATAAGAAAGTTAATAGGAATAAGTTAAAAAAGAATTTCTTTATCGGCTTCGCTCTCAGTTTTTAAATGGAGCAAAATATTATTTAACTTTATTAAGCATCCAAAGATGGCGCCATGATCTATCAAAATTATAATTTTTCCACTTTCGATAAAGAAAAGTTTTTTCAGTTATTATAGCATGAAAGTATTTCTGTATAGTGTTCAGAAAAGTGATTTCAGAAAGTTATTTAAAGTTGTAAGAAAAGTATTCATGAAAACATTTTCTCAATAGACATTCTCTCAATATGAACACTATATATTCAAATAATGAAAGATTCCAACTGTTTTGATAAAAATATCAATATTTTCAACTAATTTTTAAATCAAAATTTACGAATAATAAATGGATAATTATTCGTAATTATTAACCCTATAAGCAACAATTATCTATATCAATTATATGTAACAAAACTCATCCATAATTAAAATTAAATATAAAGTATTTGTAGTTTTTTCTATGCACACTTCTGCGTGTGAAATACGTTAAATAAGTAAAGAAAAAAAATTGCTATGTAAGCTCTTGTGGAAAAACTAAAACACATTATAATTCAACTGCCTCTGGTTCAATCAGACGAATAATAAACACGATTCTTAAATATTTAGTTACGATATAGTTACTTTATTTGTTGTTACTTTTTTATAGTAACTTTAGTGAAATATAGTAAAATTTATTATGCCTATACGATTGAATTATTGAAAGGAGCTATGAAATATGCTGGAAAACTAACGTAGAAGGCAACGTTGTGAGAAGAGTTTTTTTCATAGTATTATCCGCATTATAAAAACATTACTTTGCATATTATAATAAAAAATAAAAGTAAATGTAGAAGAAAATAAAGTTAGGAATCAAATCTTGTTCAGGAAAAAGAATTACAACTATTACTATTAAGTTGTAATTTTTAATTTCAAAACAAACTATATAATGCAATTTCGTTTCTTAAATGATTTACGCGTGATTTAATGTTCAATTTTAAAAAAAATTATATATGTGAAAGAAAGATTCATATAAACCGTGCTATTCATTATTAATATTATTGCATTTTATTGCATTTCATTAAAGTGGTGCCAAATGGGACGATGTACAGAAATTGGGGAACGTCCAGAAGCGATGGACGGAGAATGGGGACAATGGTCATCTTGGTCCCCTTGTTCCAGAACTTGTGGTGCAGGTGTGAGTTTGTCACAAAGACATTGTGATAATCCCATGTAAGAGGGCATATTTTTATAAGTTACATATATTAAATATATTCTAATGTGCGTGTAAAATATATGTTCTCAGTAAACAAATAAGCGAAAAGTGAATAAATAAATACGTAATATTATAATAGTGAAAACGTAAGTCAAAAATGTGACTACATGCAATGTAAAATTTTTTTAATTTACTTCAATACCAAAAATGGCAGCAACTATGTACTAACATTTTTTACAGTGTAGTAAAGTGTTAATTTAAACAGTCTTTCGGTTCCAGTTAATCAAGCGTATGATCAAGTTAAGTTAAATGTTATGATACAACTTGGCAGAGTATTAAGGTTACAGTAAATTGGAACGATTTCATGGTTCAACACTATGTTGAAATCCACCTCCCTATTAAGTAAGAAAAAAAAATGAAAATAGCAGATTAATTTTAAAATACAGAAATAAAATTTTCTTATAAATTACGATAAAATTGAGGCATTTATTTAATAAAATATTAAGGGCATTTGTACAAAACTACTTGGTAGCTGTTATTCATGCTATTTTGAACATGATTTAAGTTTCGTAAACAAAAGCACTATTTATGTGAACTTAACGCTGAAATAATTGTAGTATTTTCATGTTAAAGAAATAAGTTAAAATAAAACAGTTACAGTTTGAATTTAAAATCAAAAGACACACATCAGAAAATTCGTGATTTTAAAGTTTTTTTGGCATTTAAACACACATAAAAAGTTTAAAGTTTGGAAAAGATGTAATTTTTGTTATTTTTCACCATATAGTTACATCAGTTTTCTGTAAATTTCCAAAGCCACATCAATTTTCTCGAAATTTCCAAAGCGATATCAAAATCGATTAAATTGTTTTTCAGTAATCCGAACGCCTAACTCGAGCACAAGTAAGGAACGCCCACAAAGGATTCTCTTGCCTCCCTTTGCAATTTATTTTCGTTCTAACGTGTTAATATAAAATAATTATATTAAGGTTGTTATATATTTGCCAAAAAAAGTTATTCTTATAAGTAATTATCACATTTTTGTTTCAATATTCACTTTAACTTAATATATTTACTCTTAACTTTTTTTTTCTCCCTTAACTTTTATTCGAATGAAATAGTTAAAAATTAGAAATATTTTAAATGTAGTAAAGTTTTTTTTTTTTAATCATCCATCAGGCCAGCTGGAGGAGGAAGGTATTGCATTGGAGAAAGAAAGAGATACAAAATTTGCAATACAAAAGTAAGTATTTTCCACTACATTATTAAAAAAAAATCTTGGTTTTAATAAAAATTCTGATTAAAATAATATTTATGTTCGCAGTCTTCAGTAAGTTTGGTTTTTCAACGTTTATCTTTCCATAAAACTTGATGAAACATTTTTAAAATTCTAATTTTGAGCCTAGATATCTTAAGAAAAAATTCAATTAAAATCAAAACAGTTGATAATTTTTAAAATCAAATTTTTTATTTTTAACTGTGAAACATTTAAAATCTAGCCAAGTAAGTATGGAAGTTTCTTCTTATATTTGTACTGAACTATAAAATCCAAAATAAATAGCTTGAAAATTTTTTGTAAATTAAAGAAATTTCAATGATGAATAAACTTTTCTTTTATATCTAAATAAGTGAAAATTGAAAAAAAAGTTTTTTTTTGAAAGTGAGCTGCATTTGAAGATTTTACTTTTAGCGCAGAAACAAACACTGATGTTTCATGCTGTATTTCATAACCATGAATTATTAAAATGCTTATACGGATATTTTCCACATTTTCTGACCTAAATTAATACAAAATAAGGAAAAAAGTATGAAAAATATGCTTAACGGAAATTCTACTTCAAAGGGTTAAGGAAGTTACATCTTAAATATTTTAGTTGGATTTTAACGAATTTTCAAAGTCAATCTCATTTAAGGAAATAATAATTTTTTTTCAGTTATTAAACTTTTTCACCCAGAAAATTGAACAGTTTTCAAATAAATGTTTACCTCTTCATTTTTCTTTTTAATAAAATAACTATAGGCATACATAAAATAATTATAGGCAATTACAGCCGAATTAAGTAAGATTTATGTTTTTTTGAATGTAAGACTGGTTTCTCCCGTTTTAATTTAACGTCGTTTATAGTGCAACTGTTTGAAAAAAAAAAGCGGTATTTTATATGAAGAAATATTAATGATGCCGCTGTTTTGTTTCCGTATAGATTTGTCCTGAAAATGCTCCAAGTTTTAGATCAATGCAGTGCAGTGCTTATGATGACGTTCCTTATAAGGAAGAATTACACACATGGTTGCCTGTTGCAACTCCAAGTATGGGTTTATTGTTATAAATAGAATTCTAAACACAAAGTATTCTGTAGTATTCACAAAATATTTACCATTGCAAAAGTAAAATTCATTTAATAAATAGTGAGCTAAAACTTCCATCATTCACTGTTCTATCCAGTAAAAGTTTATGTGCCAGTGTAAAATTAAAAATTACGAGTTATTCCATTACACTTTTTGATTATAATTTTATTGTATCTTTATAGTTCGTAAAAATACCATAAAAATTATGTTTTATAATGAACTTTTCGAATAAAAATTAATTGTAGTTTTATTCAAGTGAGATTTTTATTCCTAAGTATGACTAGTTTCCAATATAAAAAAATTTCTATGTTTATACTTACAGTTAAACTAAACAACGTTTTACGAGGAACCTTATAAATTTGAAACCCTGCAAATTCCGTGTTTTTGGTAGCTAATACGATGCTGAAAACGTTATACTTTTTTCTTAAAATTTCATATTTTCAGGATAGTGTTTTACGAGTAAAAAAATTGTTAGATCTCTGATTGTTTGATTGTTTTTTTACTGATTGTTTTTACAGTAATCTGAGTTTTGTATAACTGAAGACCAAATAGTTAATACTGTAGTTGATTGTTATAAGAAGTTTACATCTGAGAGAAGAAGATTTCAAATACTGAAATTTCAATCAGAAATATTTTTATTTAAATTTTAAAACAATGCTCTTTTTTTTTTAAATAGCCTTTTTGCATTTTGAACAATTTGCAACTTGCATAATTCATGTATTTAATTGTTTTATCACTCAAATCATAAAATATAAAAAGTTAACTGCCTTGAGTAATTCTTTGAATGTTTTTGTTGTATAAAAATATTGTTATTATTTAATTTGCTGAATCAAGGAACGGGAGCAGGACGAAAAATGTCATAAAAATAATAATACTAAATAGTCAAATATTTTGCTAAATTTTGATTAAGAGTGAAAAAAAATACACAGATTTTATGTAAGTCAAACTACTAAATCTAAAACAGAAAACTTTATAGAATAATTCCACAGCACACATTTAATTTTAAAATTTAATAATTAAAAATTTATTTGGCATTTAAATGCATTTGATATTAAGAAAATTCTGTTGTGTGCGTTTGAACTGTTTAAGTTAAGTTTTTATTTATTATTTCATTTTAGTTTTAAAGTTCCATGAAAACACAAACTGCAAGTTATAAATAAATAGCATTAAATTACTATTAAATAACTTGTACTCCAGAATTGAAATAAAACCGATTTTAAGCATCCTGAAATATTTGTCATAGAAATTAATTTATTTTTCTTAGAGTTAGCATTCAAATTTTGATGTGTAAAGTGAGCGTCAAAAATAATTTGAGGGGACGTAACCTTAAATATACTAATTAATTAGTACAGATGATATTTTAAGTTACGAAATCGGTCACAAAAATGTACTTTCTCTGAATAAACATACCTTTATTTCGTCAGATTTGTAACTTTTACGCACAGTGGAAATATGGTCTGATATCTAGAATATGATCAATCTGGAAATATGCTCTGAATATTTTCGTCAGGAGAGCAGTATAAAATTTTTAATTTTCTTTTTGCATATTTAGCTACATCTCGAGAATTTTTAGTTTGAATTGAAAAACTTTAATACACAATTGTAAAATTCGCTTATCTAAAAATAATTCCTTGCAACAATTAATTAATTTTCTTACATAATTTTATTAAATAACAGTTGACAAAGTTGTTAATTGAAAGGTATACATTTTTTCATCATTTTAAAGAATGTCATTTTGAATGGCATAACACTAAATTTTAGCAAAATCGGTCTATTAGTTGCCGAGAAATAAATTTTTAAAGTCGTAGATTTAAAATTCTGTTTATCTACTAGCTGTTATTCATGCTATTTTGNTTTGATGTCGCTAATAAAACTCTGCAGTGTAGAATTCCAAAAATTCATATTTTTAATTCTATGCTCAGAGAATTATTCAGAAATATCCTCTCGAAATTTGTAAAACCCTGTGGAATATTGCATGTCAATACGATCTATGATGTTGATTACCACAAGAGAGAGAACCAAAAAGAGGATGAAGATCTGGTTATTGGAACTGCTACTGGAAAGATTGTGTCTGAATTATCGAAAGAAGAACAGAAGCAGTTTTACATTAATATCAGAAAATACTTATGCAGGGCATGTGACTATATTTTGCATAAATTTCCCATAAAAGATGAAGTTGTGCTGCATGCTCAAGTAGCTGATGTTTCAAGACTTCAGCAAGCTTCTTTTCCGGATGTTAAGTACTTTATTAACAGATTTCCCATTTTAGTTAAATTGATTTTACCAGATAAAGAAATTGATACCGCAGTAGATATCCTACAGGCACAGTTTTGCTCTCTCCAGTTAGAGGACTTAACTGAAATAAAAAAAATTGAAAGAATAGACACCCAGTGGGGTTCCATAGGAAAAATTAAAAGTGCTGATGGAAACTTGAAATATAGTGACATTTCAAAAGTAATGTTATCGATTTTAACTATTCCGCATAGCAATGCGGAATGTGAAAGGATTTTCATTATTGTGACAAAAACAAGAACCAAATTTCGACCTAACTTAACTAATGACACACTAGAAAAGGTGTTGTTAGCTAAAACTGGCCTACACGGAAATTGTTATGACCAAGCATTTGACTCAGCTTTCGTACAAAAAGCAAAATCTGCTGCTAATGTTTACAATACAAAAATGATCCAATAATCTTTTATGTGTGTAATTTTTTGCCCAGTGGAAACTATTTTATCCTTTCTTTTAAAATGGTTTTTCCCCCCTTAAGGTCCTAATTATATTTTTTATGTGTTAACATTGATGTACTGTTATATATTAACAAATAAAATGTTCATTTTTAAATTTTAATACATATAAGTATTGGTTAAGATTGATTTCCTATGTCGTGAAAAATCTCCTGATTTTTGACTTTCATAACTTGGCATCTCTGATCAAGATCTATTTCACATTGATTTAACCCAAATTGTTAACTATGCCATTTAAAATTTCACTCTTTAAATTATTATAAAAAGTTTTATACTTAACAGTTCAAAAAAAAATAATTATCAGAAATTATTTTCCGCTTGCAATTATCATTCAATAATCGAATTTTATAACTGTATGCAAAAAGTTTTCAATTTGCTTAAAAAGTTCTCGAAATATGACGACATACGCGAAAGTAAAATTAACATTAAGGGATCCAAACTTTAGATTGCTCTCCCAAAGAAACTGTTGGAAATATATTTTCCAGATTGCAGCTACCTCCTATTTAATTTTGGATTAATAATCCGAATCCGTCGAAAAGAAGGTATGTTTTTTTTTTTTTATCAGAGAAACACCATTTTGTGTCTAGTTCTGTAACATAAAATATCACTCGCAGTAATTAATTCGTGTATTTAAAGTCACCCCATCAAACCATTAAAATTGATTCTTAATACATGAAAATCCCATCACATTAGATGAATATTCGTGTATCTTTTAACTGTGAAACTGTAAAAAAATTCATAGGCCACACAAAGTAATCTATTTATAAAGTAGGGTGATTCGTTATATTTTTTCTTTTGCTAATTTTTTTATTCTTTTTTAACTTTCACTTAATAAATTTTGAAATCTTTTATTTAATGCGTTTTACTTTTTTTTTTTACAAAAAGATCGATTATTTTTATGGTGATATCTTTTTTAATCTAGGTTTGATTTTTTTTTTCGTATAAGTCTACGTGTCAATATTTTGGCAAATATAATTTAAAATTTCAGTAACAACGAAGTGCATTCAAAATGCGATAAAATATTTTAATTAAGACTTTATATTAAAAAATACCTAATTTTTTTCATTGAATTTGAAAGTAATTCGTAATGGAGTTTCTGATTAAGAGTGTATAAGTGGACCTCGATTTCCAAGAATAATGAACTTTTTTGTCTTTTCTTTAAGTCGAATTATATGCATGTTTGTAGGCGTAACTGTATCATTTTATACTTAGTGACGCCATGTCAGCTTCACTGCAAACCTGATGGTAAGTTTTTCTCCGTCATGCTCTCTGACACTGTTGCGGATGGCACGGAATGTAATCCTGGAGCGAGGGATGTTTGCATAAATGGAAAATGCAGAGTAAGTTTTAATTACTATAATTCGATGCATTAATTATCAGGACAAAAAATTTCAGAATCTTTCCAAAGATTAAAAATCTTCCTTTTCATTTAAGTAGTGATTTGGATACCCAAAACAAGGAATGTGTATATACAATTTTTCGTAAAGATATTGTTTAAGTAATGACATAATAGATGCCAAAATATATGCTTTATGAAAAAGTCTTATTTGACGTATTAAAAAATGCAATCAATACCTAAACATTAATACCATAAGTTGGACTTTTAATCATTAAGTTACATACATTGTAAAAATTCCCTCGTCAAATTCCGATAAAGAATAAGCACTTTGAATGCAACATTCGTAAAATGAATTTTACCGTTAAATCCCTTTTTTTTTGCATAAATCCTTTTTTTACCATGAAATATATTTTTTATCTTAATTTTTACAGTAATATTTTTTTAATTATAGTAATTCAGTGCTTTTACAGTAATTATTAATGTAAAAATTACAGTATGCCAGATTCTGCTAAATTTTATGGTGAAAAGTACTAGCACCCATAGTACCGCTATTTCTTACCGTCATTTGACTCATAATTTTTTTTATAAAGTCATTTATTATTATCACAAAATGAAAAATTATTTAATTGTCCATCATACTGAAGGATAAATACGTCATAAATATATAATATATTTATACATTACATAATAATGCAATAAATATTTTTAATGGATTGCAAACATCAAAAACCTCACTGTGTTTCTCCAAAGGTTTTGTAAAAATTTGGATTTGACACTGATTGTAGGAAATGCGTTAACTTTATAAAGTCATTTATTATTATCACAAAATGAAAAATTTAATAATTGTCTATCATATTGAAGATAATTATTACGCTCTTTTCATATCCACTATATATTATTTCAGCATGTTGCTTGTGATTGGGCAATTGATTCTGAGGCTCAAGAAGATCGTTGCGGTGTGTGCCACGGGGATGGAACACAATGCTTGACTATACGAGGCAATTTTACTTTAAAACTGGGCATAGGTATGTCATCATTATTCATTTAATTAAATTAATTTACCTAAAAGTTATCAATTTAAAGATTTATTTTGTTTTTCGCAACTTATTAAAAGATATGCTTGTGAGTTATTTGCGTAGAAATAGTATAATGTCACGCTATCATGAATATAGTTAAGAAAGCCCCTGATAAAAATATATAAGACAGAAGGTGCAGTGCACAAAATAAAAGAGGGAGCACCTTGAAACCTTTTGATCTAATAATTGGATTTTCACTCTCTAAGATGCAATCTTAATTATTTGAGGGTCTCACTTTAAATGCGCTAAAATGGTTGTTTAGGTGATATTTTAAGCTACGTAATCAGACTCAAAAGTGCACTTTCTCTGAATAATGTACATTTTTCTTTATGTTTTGATAGTAAGATTTAATTATAATATGATTTCTTTAATTTTAATCATATAATCTTGCGGTCTTCATCGTAACGCCTCAGTTTCTTGGGATTATTTAATAGGGTCCCAATAGTTTGTGTTACTTAATGTTAATTTCACATCTTACGTATTCTTCCTACGTCTCTAAGACAATATAAAATAATCAATTTTTTGCAAACAAAATAAAAAGAATTTTTGATTAATAATTTTTGATTTTGTATTTGAAAACGTTTAAATCCCTTGTATTGAAATTTGAGATATGCACTGTTGGAAATTTAGGAGATATTTTATAAAATTGTAAAAATTCATTGCAAGTATAGTAGGCTGCTAAGTTTAAACACATTATTGGGCAATTAATGTGCGTTAAATTTAATTACTCTTTGATTAAAATCCAGTTGGAAGAGAAATATTTATCACTAATTAAAATACATAGGTTATTTTGATAAGGTTTATTTTTCATCTTAAAAAAAAGGAAAAAAGTTATACTTTTTGTTTTTTGAATTTTTTTCCAGCTTTTTCTTGTTAAAAAAATTATAATATACTAGTGGGCTGCTCCCCCTGCTCGCTAACGCTTGCCAACCCCCGAAAATTGCAACGCAATCTTATATGGTTTGCTTCGCAAACCAAGCTCGCTTCGCTCGCTACTAACTTAGATACATTGCAAATCCACAAAATTCTAAGATTTCAAAACAATCATTCAAATCCATATAAAAACTTTTTTTTTATAGAAAAATTATATCTTTTCAATAAATATTAAGTCATTAAAATAAATTTGAATTCAAATAAATGACATGTAATTCGTTAAACTTATTAGAAATGTGCTAAATATAAAATCTTAAGATAAGATTTCTAAACCGCTTTCGACAAAATACTAAAATAGAGAGCTATCGACAAAGACTACTCACTTCTGACTAGCTTAATAGTAGTAAGAGATTGCCGCAGCTGATACGGTGAATTTCGGAAGAAATCACATTTGGTGAGAATGCTCTCTCTGGTTATTTCAGTTTCCGTTTTTAAAAGCGCTATATGTTGAGCCACCTCAGCTAGATTTGGCATGTGACATTTTTAGTGGTAATCATTGGTCGATTTTCTAGCGTTGCTATTCGGGGAGTTGTAATGAGGCTTTTTTTTGTCGCCGTGTAAGAGAAGTATACATATAGATTGTCTTTAAGTAATTTGAAAACTGTATTTTAAAGTTTTTTTTCTTTACTATAGCTATTTAATACCTGCCAATTCAAAAATATTTATATGAACCTAATATTTTGCAGGCTACGTTGAAATAGTTAAGATTCCTAAAGGGGCTCGAAATGTTCGAATCGATGAAAAAGGTGAAGCCATCAATTACTTAGCAGTGCGAGGAGAAGGTGGTGAATTTTTCCTAAATGGTCGCTGGTTCATTCAATGGAGTGGTGAATACAGGGCAGATGGTACTACACTTTACTACCAAAGAGATGGAGAAAAAGAATCACTTCACATTCCAGGACCCGCAAAAGAACCGTTACACATTCTAGTAAGAGATGCACATTTTCACAAAAAAATAAATATATTATACAGAGGAATAACATGTATCATTCGGGTTCATTTCTATTGATCGTATTTTATAAATATTTTCTAAATTTTCGACAAAATTTGTGTGAAAAAGTACACATATTAGGGATTTCAAATTAATTCTTAAATGATGAAAAATCAAAGAAAAAAAAGCTATCGTAATCTGCGGAATCCCAAGGGTGGAAGGTGGGACAAAAGCATAAAAACCAGTTTAATCACCTGATAAAAAGTGGAGGTGTTACTTATGATCGTTTTTTAAATCTTCTATGTTTTTTGAGACAGTACTATAGGTTCTAATGATTTCAGTCCCGCCTTTATCTATATTGATTTTTTCGACAATGATAGCATTTTTTCAGAATGAATTTTCGACTTTTGCTCTATACTATTTTGGCTTGGATTTGAAATATATTTATTAAACGAGTTTATTACGAATCCCCTAGTATAACAAATAACATGAATTGTTTTAAAAACTTTTATGAAAAGCTTTGCAAAATAAAAGGAACTTTAGATGTATAGTAGCATCAGAATTCCGTTTTTGATTTTTTTAAATGTTATTTAGCACATCTTTACAAAGTTTTTCATCGAAATTGATCGAATCGTTAAGTATTTCATTTTTATGTATTTTCAGCTGTTGTATCAAACTGAAAACCCAGGCATCACTTATGAATACACTATTCCAAACAAAAATGCTACAAGAAAGCCAGAATTTCACTGGTCATACGCTGATTGGACCGTTTGTTCTGTATCGTGTGGTGGAGGTAAGCTTTATTTGGTACAAAAATACGATCTCTGCTTCAGAAAGCTTAACATTTATTATCGTAACAGTGTGCTGAATAAATTGTATTTTAAAGAATGGATGCATTACTACAGTATACAGTAGCAGTAGTCAATTACAGTTGCAGTGGTGAATTACAGTTACAGTAGTAAACTACAGTATACAGTAATAAAGTTGCATGTATTTTTCTAAACCAATTATTTCTGTAACTGATTGTTTTTTTTTTTTTCAAAATGTGTGGTAATATAATCCTGAAATTCAGAATTTTCGGTAAACCATTACCATATGAACAGAAAAAGTACCAAATGAATGGCTAAAATACGGTTTGTTTGTTTATTCAATTATTTTTTAACTAAAATTATGTTGTTTTTTTAATTTCTTTTTATTAGAAATGTTCTTACAATAGAGTATGTTAATTTTACAGGATTGTTTTTCTTCTTGTAGTTATTCGTAACGGGCAAGTAGTATAGAAAAAGCATAGCATATCAGAAAGTTATTATAAAACATAGAGAATAGTTTACAATCCATTTAACCGGCTAATATGCTTCAGACCCTTTGTCCTCAGAAAAAAGAATGTTACAATACATTTTTTTTAAACTTTTGGTGTATCTAACAGGTTTGATAATTATATATAGAAACGTTTTAGTTTAAAAAGTTACATTTATGAATATTTCACAGTGTTCTCAGTTGAAAATAATTATTACTTATTATAACCGTCAAAACTTTGTTTTATTGAAGTAAGAATTTCAGACAATATATTTAAATTTTTTTCAAAAAATTTGAAATATGCAATTGATATATAAATTTAATATAAATTTTCTTTAAAAAAATTAAATAATATTAAAATTTATTTAAGCATTAGCTCTATCTAAACGAACTTTTCTTCGTTATTTAATAATATTTTGTTGTCTCACATAATATATTTGTCATTCACTTAAACTTTAAGTTAACACTAATTAACTTTTATTTTTTTACATTTAATATGATAAAATATTGTATTTGAATATGTAATGAATATTTTCTCTAGGAGTGCAGGTCTCGAAGCCCAAATGTATCGAAAAAGAAGCTGGATTGGTAGAGGATAAATATTGTGATTCTGACTCAAAACCAGTTGAGAGAACTCGAGACTGTAATAAGCATCAATGCCCCGCAAAGTAAGCTCGTTAGCTAAAGATTTTATTAAATCGGACTCAATATATGAGGCACAATAGAAAAGAAAATATCTGTGTAGCCTCTCTTTTTAAAGTGTCAAAGAAATGGTTGTGAAAGGTATAAATCATAGTAATACTATCAAGCTAAGAATAAAAGCTCTGAGCTTCAAATACGAAAAGTAGTTTTTTTTTAAAAGAAAATTCACGTTAAGTGTTAGCATTGAGCGAAACTAGTAACCTAGAACAGCACAGAAATAACACCTTATTAAGACTTTTTTTTCTTTTTAAACTAAAAATTCGTGTCGATTAAAAACTGTCATTGTAGTCACATAATTACCTAAAACTTTTGGTAAAATTGAAGAATATCAAGACTTCCTAAAATAGACCTTAAGTAAGGTTTTTGGTCAAAAATGGAAAGATTAATTGAAAGTATAAAACTTAAATGCAAAACTAATTTTAGTTTTCAAGATCGAAAATGTAAACTTTTTTATAAAAATAGCAGTAGAAAAATTATACATGAAATGTAACTTTTAGGTCTACCGAAGTCTACTTGAAAACACTTAATTTTCTTTTATAAATATGCATTCTTCCAGTTTACAACCCCATTTTAGATTAATTTATTAAGTACATTTGGTTTAAAAATTCATGATACTCGTATTTTGAATTATTTTCAAATCAATCTTCAGATTAGTTATTATATTCCACTTGAAATTAAAGTTTTCACAAAGATTTTTATCATTTTTAAGTTTTAAAATTAAAATATGTGCAATATTCATGCTATTTAAAAAAAAAGAAGCAATAAAACTTACATTTTCAATGCATTTTTTTACATTTACAAAAAATTTTTTAGTAAATATATCACAATTTTTATTGAATTAAAATTTATAATATCGAAAAAAAATTCTGCAGTACCTCAGAGTAAAGGTCTATAGAACTTTTTAATGCGAAATATTTAAAATTCATAACTTATATCGTTTTGAGTTGAAGCATTATGCAACTCTTCAAAAAGAGCATCTTAAATGTTTACTTTTCAGGACTGGATATTATATTATTAAGTATTATCATTCAAATTATATTTCATTTTCAAATGATATTTCGCGTTTTAAGAGAGCCCATCTATAAGGGAGAAAATTTAGTATGTTTTGGAAATAAGCTTTATTTATTTCTTAACACTAGAAAGACGGAAAATTCGTATATACCTATATTGCCTAAAAGCAGTCAAAATGACTGGATTGTGAATACTTAATTAAATTTCTTTAAAATTAATTTTTAACATTTTTTATATTATTTTCAGTTACATAACAAGTTTTTAGTAAACGTTAGCAATAAAAAAATTATATGTTGTACAAAAAGTCTCAAAATTCTAAGAAATTGTGTCATTATATACATCATTGTTTTTCTAATTGAAATTAAAGGCAGTCAAAATGACTTCCTTAGGCAATCTAGTGTTAAAGAGAATGATTATAGAAAATAATTTACTATACTAGTTTTTCATGACTGTCGAATTTAATTATCTCAATTGGGATTGTGAGATGAAGTTTAAATGCTGAAAATATGATATGAAAAGTAGAGGTTTTCTGAGGTTTTATTTTGTAAAATCGATTGCATTTTGGATAAAAAAAATGTTTTGCAGCTCTTTATTTTAGATATTTCAAAGATATTATCACAATTATAATTTTTTTAAATGGTGTACAATAATTTAGAACTTGAAATGTCGAAAAAGTTTCGGGGAAAATCGTCTCTAAAAAATAAAAAAGAACCATATCTATTTTAAAATAAGTGTCGTGTAAGATGCTAAGGCGTTAAATATTCTATAATATTTTAATAAACGAGTTTAAACGAGTTTTATGTTGTTTTCCATTATCTCTATATTTATGTTAAGTGTCACGCTGTTTCTGAATTTAGATGGTGGGCTGGTCCATGGCAGCATTGTTCTACCAGTTGTGGTCAAAGAGGTATTCGGAAAAGAACCGTTATTTGTGTGCGCTCATTAAGCAGAGATCAACAAATTGCTCTCCTTGATGATGATTGTGATGCAGATGTGAAACCCCTTGAGTCAGAACCCTGTCCTCACAAAAGACCCTGCCCCGGGGATAAAGAAACTTGGTCTGCATCTCAGTGGTCGGACGTAAGTGAAGAAAATATCTGATACTCTCTAAAAAGAAAATAATTAGTATGCGCGCCAATATTATGTTCATATTAAAATTTGCACATTAATGTAAATGATATTGGTAATATTAAGCTGATATATGTGAAAATCTTTTTTCTATTATTTCAGGTATGCAGTGAAGATATCTGTAATTTTCAAAGCCGACACGTGTACTGCAATTATCCTGATACGCATTGCAAAGAAGACGAAAAACCAATGTCTCGTCGACCTTGTGCAAATGTCACATGTGGAGTTTGGGTTGTTGGAAATTGGTCTAAGGTATATTACAATTAGGTCTCATTGATCTTTCATCGTTCCTTAAATAAATTAGAGTAAGAAACATGTCATAAGGTGTTTCGTAAAGTACCTATCTTTGATTTTATATCGATACATTTTTTTGATATACAGCATAAACTATACTTTCCTACTGTTAAAATTTGACATTATATGTTGAAATTAAGTAACAGCTACTGTTATGTTTTTAATGTAGAAATTAACTATCAATTTCTTTTACAAAAATAATCGGTAAGAAATTTGTATTTATCGCTTAATAAAAAAGATAGATTGGTTTGCTTTGGCGTACTGACAGAATCATAGAAACTACAGAGAGCTCAGTCTCAGAGATAAGACTCTCAGTTTTAACGATTCAGCAATCCTTGATCTGTGAACCGTGGCGCATATTGGGAGAGCGCTTGCCTCCCAATGTGGCAAGCCAGGATTCCAGCAATGGCTGGCCAATTCGAATCCCGCATCCGACTTGTACAAGCCACAGTGTTGGCGTAAAATATCTTATAGTAGACGTATTATGGGTTAGAGTCCTTTTGCAGTCAGTCTAACCGTGGGAGATTTTTGTAGTTTTCATCGAAAATGCAAATGCGGTTAGGTTACATCAAGAAGCTCTCCACCAAGATAAATTTCTCCAAATACTTGTTCCAGTAGTTACCTTGTCTTCTGGATTGAGCTCAAAAGTGGGCTACGGATTGAACATTGGTAGTCGTAAATTCAACAAATTGGTTGCTTAATGACGGTTATGAAAATAAAGTCCTTCAGCTATATTTCACGAACTTCGAAAATCATTTCGTCACGAAATCATATAATTTATGATAAAACGTGAACTCTCAAATATATGACGAAAATTTTTCCTCAACTCTAAACCTCATCGCAAGTCATTGTGGGAGATTGCTTACTAGAATGAGGACATGACGATCGAAACTAGAATGACGAAATAAGCCAACCGGTTGCATGGTAGTTAAGGAGTTTGGCCTCATACCTGAAAAATTCCAAGTTCATATTCCGCTCCAAATTGTTGTTAGGGCGACGGTGATTCACTTACATGGTGCCCACGAAGAAGTAGAAGATCGACAATAGATGATGACAGCCATCAGACGTCATGAAGTATCAAAGCATAGATTGACGAAATTCGTTCCGTTGAAGTCACTTTGACGAAATGCTCGCTCGGAGCATATACCAGGATACTGTTGCCTCAAAAACGAATACAGTTTCGTGAAATTTGAGTATCCATTTTTACAGTGCTTTGAAATTACTCAACAATATTTTGGAATCTTTGTCGAAACCAAAATAAGAAAAGTATACGAATTTAGTAATATTTAAGCAAGGAAAAAAACAATTTCGAAATCTAAAGAATCACCGGTAATTGAAAACAAAGATTAATTTAAAGAGAAAACAGAGAGGAAATTAAGGGAGATTAAATATAAACGCCACCAAGTTTCATATGGCAATGAAACAGCTTTAGATTAAGTCATCCTATTCACTAGGCATTTATTGGATTTCGAAAGTAACAGCATTTTCGATTAAGTATTAATATGCGAACCTTAATGCCTATACCTTGTTTCACCTCATTTTTAACAAGAATTTTTATTATTTATTCTGTTATGACTATCATTACGAAACACCCTGCATATGAACTTAGTTACTAGCGTAACAAATTTCAAAAAAATCTTTAAAAAATTCATTAGAAAAGATCTATCCTTCTTATACTGAACTCCAATTAATATTTCTAAATATTAAACATAAAGTGGATTTTTTTTCTAGTGTTCAACTTCATGTGGGAAAGGGTTTCGTAAGCGGACTGTGACGTGTCGTGGAGGGTCTCAATGTCACAAAGCGACAGAACCGCCCACCAAGGAGCCCTGTAATAATGACCCATGTCCAGTGTCTTCAAATGACGATTCCAATTATATTCCTGTGGGAGAAACAACCACCAAGAAGCCTATTCATAAACACAGGCACGCTCATGACCAGAAGACTAATACTAAGAAAAGCTCCAGACCTAGATTCATTGCTAAAGGTATTAATTATGATAACAAAAATACATTAATTGATATTTACAGTACTAAATGCATTATGTATTATTTTTATTTATTGTATTTAAGCATAATCGTTTATGCATGTTTCCTCTATTTTTTAGATATCATACAAATTCCAATGGTGGAAGTTGATATGAGAAGTTCCAATGATTCAGAGGACTATTTCTTCGATAACGATATCGAGACGCCAAAGATAACGAAAGAACCTGCCCTTATTCCGTACGTCTTCGACGAGGAAGAAGATATTGTTCCAAGTGATAGCAAGTATGCATGGAAAGTTAGCATTTGGACAAAGGTATACCTATTCAATGAAGAATAAATTGAAGTCGTCTAAAGTATTACTTTTATTTTAGCATTGTAAGCTGTGGATTATAATTCATGAGAATTTAGTTAACAATGTAAATAATTATCGACGATGTTTTTTAATCCCTTATTAATAATTCGAGAACATTAATCGGCATTTTCATGCTTAACAAAGTTTGAGAGCATATTGAAAAAGTACCAAACAGTATCCTAAAATGCTTTGCTTTATGCTTTTCTTGGTAACTTTTGACCGACTTTGCAGACCATTGTGGCTTTTTTCACATTCATACTACTAAAATTTTTTTTGGATTGTACTGTCCAAAAAAGTTTTAGTAGTATGTATGTGAAAAAAGCCACTATATATGCTCTCAAACTTTGTTAAGCATGAAAATGCCGATTAATGTTCTCGAATTATTAATAAGGGATTAAAATACATCGTCGATAATTATTTAATTCCTAAACCGCACACCGTAAATCGAATGTGAGCTTAGTACCCTTTCCAAAAATTTGAGAACTCAATTTTTTTTCTTTTTTTTTTTTAAAAATAAATTATATTTTATATTTAAATAAGCTAATATTTCGAATATTCAGGACTTAGAAAAAATTACGAAAACAATCTTTTCTATGAAGCAAATGTTTTTGAGTAGTTTAAATGACAACACTATTGGCAGAATTTGAAAGATCAAGCTTAAAGCTGTAAAAAATGGTTTCGTTTTTCCCATGCAAAATACTGTTCAACCAAAATGATATAACAAGTTATAAGCTTTTTTCCTTTTTAATCAATAACACTAAAATAAAAAAAAGCATTTTTTCATAAATACCATCAACAAAGTACTTCTGACATAGAATTAGTAGGTTCATAGGGTTTCTATAATTTTTTCCAATCCCTATAAGACATGTTGGATATTATGAATGCTTAAAAATCTTCTAATTAATATTTTCTGGAAGAAATATGGGACATGGGAAAAAACGTATAAATGCGTATATAATAGGAAAAACACTTATTAGAAACATATTATAATCAGGATTCTTTTTAATCAATACCACTAAAATCAAAAAATGCATTTTTTCATAAATGCCATCAAAAAAGTACTTCTGACATAGAATTAGTAGGTTCATAGGGTTTCCATAATTTTTTCCAATCCCTATAAGACATGTTGGATATTATGAATGCTAAAAATCTTCTAATTAATATTTTCTGGAAGAAATATGGGACATGGGAAAAAACGTATAAATGTGTATATAATAGGAATAACACTTATTAGAAACATATTATAATCAGGATTTTCTTTTCTAAATAGATAATAATGTTTTTCATTTTATTTCTTTTTTAAGGTCATCAAATGATCTATCACTGGGGAGAAACCAATGAGTTAAAAGAATGTCTAAATAAAAATCGAACAATTTTTTTTTTTTTAGTCTTTACGCTGTGAAAATCTTTTGAAACCTAAAACAATAAAAACAAATATTATTTATTATCAGTAGCAATCAGTTATTTTTCTTTAGATTACTGATCTGAAATTTTCTTACTTAAGCATGATTGTATTTTTTTTTTACAAAATGTTAACAAGAACTCTTGAGCAAAAAAAATATTAATTGTTTTTTTTTTCAGTGTTCCAGTCGCTGTGATGGAGGACTACGAAAAAGGGATGCAGTGTGCCTGGATACAGTATCTAAACACGTTGTTGTGGAAGAATTATGTGACTCCTACCGAAGACCTATCACTGTAGAGCCATGCAACACAGAACCGTGTCTAGATTGGGTTATTTCTGAGTGGAGTGAGGTAAGAAAACACACCATCAAGAAATACAACACTCAAAAATAAAATATTGCCGGTTTTCATAAGAGGCTAACACATAAGTTTTCTTTTCAAACAATCTGTATATATTAAGTAATGACATTATAAATATAGAATATATTAGAATAGAATATATTAAGTAATGACAGTACAAAATTAAACATATAGGAAGTGAATATACATTTTTATGTAGGGTATTCCGTGATTACTGCTCTTAATATACATTTTTATTTGAACCCTTTTTGAGTTTTTTTGAGAAAACATAAATCAAAATTGAACATAATTTAACATCAGATGTGATAACATTCACCTCCCCTCAACATTTCAGATGAAGTTTAAGTTGTTTATCTAGATTGATTCCTATCTTTCCTTTTTTTCAGTGTTCTTCAAAATGCAATGAAGGAGAAATGCATAGAGATGTCACGTGTCCCATAAGCAGTCACTGCAATCCAAACACGAGACCTGAAGAGAAGGCAACTTGCATATTGCGACCTTGTATTGATTGGGTAGATGGACCATGGAGCCAGGTGTGAAATTTTTTACATATATTTTGTTACTAAAATTTTGAAAAATGAACTTTGTATGTTTTAAGTAACAATATATGAAATCAGTCATTTCATATATTGATATTTTTTTTATAACATAAATATGAAGTTGATAAAACAGCTCCAGAGATAACTTTTTGTATTATTTTAAGTTTAGATAGACCACTCAATTTGACAATGGCTTAAGACGTTGAAAAATTTTGTTTAAGTTTATACTTAGACCACTCGGTGGTAATTTAACAGGGAAGATAACTGTTATTTTCGGCTCTTAACTAAGTTTTACATCACCTTTCTCGAAAATATGAACACTACAAGCAGAATCTCGTCAATCGTATTCTGTAAGTTATTTTCATGTATCAAATTTTGCTTAAAACGCACGTATGTAAGGTTTAATTCAGTCTAAACACAGTAGACAGAGTGGTTCGTAAAGAAATATACTGTTTCAATGTAAGGTATTATATGCTACCTGCGATAGAATTGCTTGAGATTATTTTAAGTTTTGTTCGAAACAAGTCATGGATATTCCATGTGTAAATTCTTAGTAATACGATACACATCGAGCCGGTAGTAAATTTCCGCCGAAACGCAGGCTAAGATATTTAAATCAAATCCATTCATAGTGACTGTGATATAGTTCCTCTAGATAAGTAGGAAGTCGACTTGATGTGTCATTACCGGATAAATAAATGGAGTGCCAGCTCGATGTGTGTCGTGTGACTAAGGAGTGACAGAGATGATTGCGATCCGTGAAAAATCCGGATTTCCGGATTTTTCGCCAACCACGATCCGGAAATTTTCGAAAACCCAAGGTGCAGAAGTTTCAAGAAATCGTCGATCACATTTATGTTTAAAAATTCTTGTATATTTTATTTAGAAATATTAGAACTAGAATTTATACTTGGCAGCCCTTTCATTTGTAAGTATTTTTTCTGGTATAATAATAAATGTGATTAGACATAAAAGTAAACTTATACATAATTATCCATTTAAATTATGCTGCATATGATTAATTTAGAATTTCATGTCTTGAAAATATCAAAAATTTGAATTTATAAAGGCATTAATTTTTTGAAATGCGTCATTAATGATTTTTACTCAAGAAATTTTCAGTATTAATGAACAATATTTTTCAGTGTTCCACAACGTGTGGTGGAGGGGTTCAAATCCGACACGTGAAATGTATCAATATCACCTCGCAAGGTCCAGCAACTGGATGTCCAATAGAAATGAAACCCAATCATAGACAACCCTGCAACCTTGATCCTTGTCCGGACAGTAAAGCTGGTACGATCATCAACGTTATCTTAATCTATACATCAAATTTAAAATAAACATCTGTTCATTTAATTTTAAATGTGCCTATATAAATGTATACTACTCAAAGCAATTAAAGGATATTGTATGAAATAATAGTATAAACAAATTTTTTTAATACATAAAATGGAAAAAGAGTCACAAAAGCAATGTTTTCTTATTTTCAAACTTGGCAGTATGCAAAAATTTTTAGTCTGACGGCGAAAACGACGATTTAACGGCAGCGAATTTGAGTTGGCTTTCAACTTAATGTTAGTCAAAGATAAAAAGAATGATCGACATTCAGTAAGCGCGTTGCTTCGATGAGAGCGATGTCTTAATGAAGTCATTTAACCGAACCAGAAGCGTGGAAAGTTTTTGACCGGTTAGAGGGGGGCCAAAAACAAGCCGAAGTAGCAGAAGCCATTGGAATTTTACGAAGTGTTATTTCCAAGATCTGGAACCGTTTTTTGGGGGACTGGAAATGCCAAAGATCAGGGCAAGGGCGTAGGCGTGGAGCAACGCCCAATAAAGACCGTTATTTAACTCTAATGGATCGGAGACACCGAAATACGAATGCCACTCTTTTCCAACGCCTTCGCTTGGCTACTAGTACCAGAGTTTCGACACAAAACTGTACGAAACTGACCTCACGCTGTAAGTCTGCATACTCGCCGATCGATTCTTGTGCGTCACATTAACAGCAAGGCGCCGTCCTGCCTGCAAGGAAAAGGCAGCAGAGATTGTGAACTGGAGGAGAAATGAATGTCGCAATATTCTTTTCTCTGGTGTGTCTCGTTTTTCTGTTCATCCTGATAATAGGCGAATTTTCATCTAAAAGGAACGTGGCACTAGAAACAATCTTGCGTACGAAATTGCAAGATTTGGCGGTGGGTGAGTGATGGTCTTTGCTGGCATCTCCATTGATGGGCGCACCGATCTCCATATCGTTCGAATAAGCTGATAAAGGGAGGAGATTCTGAGACCGATTGGAGTCCCTTACGCTACAGCAATTGGAATAACTTCATGTTAATGGACGGCAAATGAAGGCCACATCGTACTAACTTGGTGAATGATTTCTTTTTGAATGGAGGCATCATCCGAATGGATTGGCCAGCGTGTTTTCCGGATATGAACCTAATGAAGCATGTTTGGGACATTCTGGGCAGACGGATTGATAGACGCTTACCAACCCCAAAAACTCACCAAAAACTGGAAAGAGCTCTTCCGGAGAAGTGGCACAGAATATCCAAGACCCTCATTAATAACATCATTGACTCGATGCCCCAAAGGTGTTCAACGTTGCTGGCCGTCTGGGGAAACTCAATAAAACGCATTTTTTTCTGCCAAACAAATGTCATTTTTATCTCATTTAACCTACTGCGTCTGTCGATAATGTATCAATCATTCAATCAATTCTCGAGGCGCAAGATCAACCCACAACCTTAATATCCCTTAATTGTTTTGAGCAGTATATTTTTTAACAGAAAGGCATTTTTTTGAAAAGAAAAAACAATATCTTTTACTTAAAATAAGTTCTGTACCTATAGTGAAACTTTAAAATACGAAATATATTAAAATATTTTCCTCAATTATTTTATAAAAGAGATAATATGAAAATTGCGAGTGAACATGGAGAAAATATCCTGGTAAAATGACTGTACCGTGTGACATTTCGTGTAAAAAAAAAGACAGGTAATAAAACCTAAATATAGGATGACCATTCTTTTTTTTTTACTTTTGTGTTCACATTAATAACGGTTTATCGATAATTCTAGTTTTCAAAATTATGGTTCTTATTACGGAACATTTAGAAAAAAAGAAATTGAAAAGTAAATTTAAAAGTAACAATAGTTTTTATGTCATGCTCTAAAGTATAATCGATACCAAAACGCTTTGGTAAGAATTACAATAGTTCCCATAGAACCAGAAATACGATTAATATTTCCATATTCTGTTCGTTTTACCTTTGTTGATTATACCTTTTTTTCACAGTGAAACAGCATGTTTATTTTAAATTTCGAAAACTTTGAGATCATGTTATGGTTGACTTAGTTATTTATGAGACTCTAATATCCACATCATTTGTTTCAGCTCTGAGTGAATGTAGAGATAAAATGGAAAACGGACTTTGCAAATCCTTGAGGCATATGTGTGGTACATGGTACTTCAAAGAAAAATGTTGCATCACATGCAAGAGAAAGAGCAAGCAAAGAAAAACACATATCCACTCCAGAAAATCTCCGCAACAGCATGGTAGCAGCTGAAGTTATAACGTAGAGACAAATTTTTTAATTTTTTTCATAACATTTAGATTGTTTTCTTTATGAAACAATTGGAAGAAAATATTTTCCTAGATGTAGTTGAATTAATATTAAGAAGTATTACATTTCTTGAACTTAAATATAAATATTAGTATGAACTTTGAGAGAAACTCAGTTGTGTAAATAAAATATTCATGTCGCGTTTGCCATTTAATATGCGATTGATTTTGAGTTTTCTACAACGATTGAAACATTAATTTTAATCTCTTCAAGAAATTTTCTTAGCAATTTTCATCTTCGTTTCTCTTCTACTAATACTTGAAACAAACAAAAAAATTATAACTAAATGTTTTTTATTACTATCCTTTTGGCACAGAATTTTTATTTAAGATGTTTTTAATACATTTTTCATTATTTTGTATTCATTTAGGTCAAAATAAGCTAAAGATATTATGCTTAGCATTTTAATAATTTACGGTTATGAAATACTGCATGAAACACCGGTGTCTTTTTTCTACTTTAAAGGTAAAATCTTCCAAACAATAATTTTTCAAAATTGCACTTGGTCGCAATTATTTAGATCTAAGAAAAACAATAATTCATCATTGACTTTTCTTTAATTTTCAGAAAAAATTTTTTTGATGAAATTTTTAATATGAATAAAAGAAAAGTTTCAAACTATTTTTTTGGATTTTATACTTTAATACAAATATAATTCAGATAATTTATCAGATTGTTTCTTAGACTCTATGAGACTGTTTTATATAATTAAAACTGTTTTATATATTTCTGACTGTAATTAGAGTGTTAGAAAAAACATGCATGAAAGGGACACCGGTATTCCATCTGCTTTGAAAGATTGAATCTCTTATATTTTTTTAATATCAATTTAGAGGAACATTAAAAGGATTGTAAATTTAGTAAAATATTTGGACTTAAAAAATTTTAATTTGTCGTGCAAAGTCAATGCACATATACGTATTTAAGTACACCTATTTTTAAAACACTTGTTTTCCTTATAGTTTGAATATCTAAGAAGTAGAGGAATTAAGAAAAATAAGACTCTTTTGTAATTTTTTTAAAAAAAATATTGGGAATTTATAATATATGTACGAGACATATGCAAAGGTAACTTATTAATTTACCCGCCTCCCAAAAAAAAGATTCACTTTTGAGGTTTATTTATTTCGTCACAAAATTACAACATTAAACTTTAAATTCCTGTTTTTTAAAAGCTTTCTTTCATTTAAAAAGGGTTAAAAATTATTTTAAAAATGAATGATTCAAAGATATCTTTGAATTTATTGTTGGTGGGCAAACTTTGAACATTTTTGTTTTGTTTCCGTTTGAACCGTTTGGAATGATAAACTTATATTTTTTTATTAAAAATTTAATTATAAGTTTAAGCATATAATTTGTTTTTAAAAATCAAACATTCTTAACAAGAAATTAGTATGTTTAAAATTCCTAAAACTTTCTAATTTACTAATGATGCGTCTTAATTCTTCAGAGATATGTCTTAATTATATATAGCTTTTATTTCTATATATATGTTATCGGCAATGCATGTAACTTCGTTATTCTGTAGAATATCTTGTCATTCTTGACTCTTGTCTTTTGAAGAGAATCTTGTCATATAAACGCTTGTCAATTTGAAAAAAAAGTATTAATAAAGAAAATTGCGCTGTAAAAAATTCCGTATCGTACTATAATAAAAATTACCAGTTCCGGTTGTTACTGTCGTGTAATACATTTTTAAAGTTATATACCGTGAGATATTTTTTCATATATACCGGAATTTTTACAGTAATATTTACTGCAAAATCACTAAATCATTGTAATTAGATGAATTTTACTGTAAAAATAACGGTATAAAATCTTACGGTAAAAATGGAATTTACGGATGATGCACCCAGAATGCCAGTAACTTTCACCATCATATGATCTGGAATTATTTATTGTGTATTATATACTTTATCCAGTATTAATGTATGGAACACTTGGGTAATAGTACTAATAAAGAGTCTTATTATATACTTTACTTAGTATCTGTATAATTTGTGTATTGAACGATAATTGCTTGTTGTACAAAATATTAAGAATGCAATTGTTTAATATACGTTAACTTCCATCAAATCATATCAAACCATACCAGGGATGATTAGAAATTTTTTTCATGATAGACTGCCAGAAAAAAGGTCTATTATTTATGTTATCAGCAACATATGAAATGTTGGAATTTCATGGAATACTTGGACAATTTAAAATGCCTGATGTAATTCCTATATTGTAAACAAATTCGAATCAAATTACGATAAAAAGAATCAGGGTGCCAGTACTTTTAACCGTAAAATCCATTTCTCCTTTGTGAAATTTTACAAGACAAAAATTGTCATTTACCATAATTTTTCGGTAAAATTTGCAGTAAAATTATTGAATCACTTGTAATTATTGTAAAAATTACGGTTTAAAATTTCATGGAAAAATAGATTTTATGGTAACGGTAAAATAGATATTACGGATGCTGTACTAAGGGTGCCAGTCCATGGATTTTTCTGGAATTTTTTACAGTGTATTTCACAAGATTGTACTTGGCAATGTGTGAAATATTAATAATTTGCCGTCCAGATTTCAGCATTCATTTGCCAGAATGTCGAATTTCAAACATTGTCGTAAACATAATAGAAATTATCTTTCTGTTTGGTTCTTAAACAGTGACCTGCCTATAGCTTATAGTATTTCTAGTTTTAGAAAAAACTGTAAATGATCTGAAATAATTGTATCAATGATTAATAAAGTTTTATAATTCACGCTTGAAATTGACTGCTTCATTTATTTTTTGTCACGCATATTGAAAAGTTAGTGATTTCTGGACCTTATATCCTTTAGATTGGATGATTTATTTTCAGATTATGAGAGTAAAAGGAAAACAAATAAAAAATTAACTCACATAACAAAAAACAGTATTTATTTGTATTTTGTTTGGACGGAATATGTAAGGGCTTATTTGTCATTTATCAAGACAATATCTTTATTACACTTTTGCACACATAACAGTGCTAGAACTATCTAATTTTCGATACAAGGAACGGACAACCATCATAAGAAAACATATCAGATATGAAAAATATAAATAATACATTGCATAGTAGTATTACATAGCATGTAATTATATAAGACTTTAAAGTGAAATAGTTTATTAATTTATTTTGCTCAGGTTTATAGTAAAGAATAATTTTTCCTGTTATTTGCCCTATTAACTAACTATTTAGGTGAATTATAATCAAGTATAACTCAATTAAAATTGAATGTTCATTGAAAAATGAAAGTATGAAAAAAATATTAAGGATTTTAAACAAATTTAGTATAAGTATTAATGAAAATCTTTTTAATTAATTTTCATACTTTCTAATCTTTGAAATACATGTATCTAATATTATTAATCTCTTTGAGTCAAATCAATATTAACGATTTAATAGCGATAAACGTGACCTTATATTTTGCAACAAAATTAAAAAAAATGCGAATAAACTAAAGTTTTGAAGTATCGATGTTTTGAATTTTAATTACTTAAATAAACAATCAGTTTAGGCAATTATTTTGAAAACTAAATTTTAAATGAATTTAAATTTAAAATACTGTTATACTAGGTGATGATTAATAATGTAGATAAGTAGAAATGTCTATTTATTACGTCACTACATAATATTACGATTTTCGACTAACTATTGTAAAGAGAAAAATAGACTTGTTTCAACTATGTATATATTTAAAATTTATGTACAATTATTACAGAAATATATCGAATATTTTCATAAACATCTTTTCTGCTGTTCTAAACGCGTAAAATCACGTTAATCTATTTAAACTGTATTTATCCATCTTTTACATGCAATTTAATAAAGAAATTAACTCGTTGAGCTTTTCAATCAATAATTTAAAAATTAAGGCACAAAATAATTTTTGAACACTTGATTTAAAATATTTGTCAATTAGTACGCGTACTTCCGCGATATGCTATTCACATATCATTGATTTTTTTTAAAAGTAATAAAATCAAAATAATATTTCGATGTTTAACACTCGTATGAATATAATAATGATACAAAGCATCATGAACTATAATATAAGTTTACATTTTTAAAACGGCTTTGTCATAAAATACTTATAGAAAAATAAGGTAATTCAATTATCATATCTTCGAATAACAATATTCGAACTAAAATAAAAATAAAAATATATGGATTTTGATAATTACCGGAACTTTCGCATTATGATCATGATACTCAAATGTTTAGCTTTAATATTTTATACTGAAATTAAACTTTAGCATTCCGTAATCTAATACTTACGTAATTATAATAATAAATGCGAAAAAAATGAACAATTATATAAGAATAAATTTTTAATTAAGACTATATTTAAAAATATTAATAAATTTAAGAGGTAACTTGCTTATTTTAAATCTATTTATTAATAACAATCGTCAATCTAAGGTAAAAATAAAAGAATATTTCTATTTTAACAATTACGCGTACTTCCGCATATGCTAATGTTATTCACATATCTTTTCTCCATTTATTTTACAGTGAAATAAAAACTTAATATTATGGAATTTAAAACTCACATAATTATAATAAAGACAAAATATTTTGAACGACAGAATAAATTTGATTTTTTAAATACAAATACATTTAAAAACATTTAATAAAAAATTATTAATTGTTTATCTGCCTTTAAATTACAATCCTCAAACTTAAATGATAAGAAAACGGAACATTTCTATTTTAGTAAGACGGAGATTATTTAGTTGGATACGCGCATGTTCGCGACATACTATATTTCTATAACAGCGATAGTTTTTATGTATATATTTACATCAAGACCCTATTTAATAAATTTATGCATTTATTTTCCATCTATGGACACATTATAGTTGAATTCGGTCAGATTTAACTGAAATTAAAGTCTTATAAATTGCGTTTAACTTTCAATATGTCTAATGATTTATTATGCTACGTTAAATAATCTTTGTTAAATTATAAGGTCTTACATATTTAGATTCAAGATTACTTAAATACGTTCCTTTGTTACTTGAAAATTGAGTAGAACTTTTTAATGTTTTAAACTTAAATAGAATTACAAGGGATTTTTTTTTATTTCTAGTAACTTTTAATGTAATAATTTATTTTCGTATTTTTTTACTATTTTCAACTCATGTTTAATGTGTAATTATTTTCAATAAAAGGTTGGTATTTAAATTGTATGAGTTATTAAAATACTACCGATTAAGTCTAGATACCCTATGAAAGCGTTTAATTCATTTGTTTCACATAAAAGGGTAAAATTTTAGTTGAAAACGGCTATAAAATAAATAAATAAATAAAAAACTTGTACACTTACAGGTGGTTCGAAAATTTAGAAGGAAAAAAATGAAACAAGCATCGAATATTTTTTCCTGATAATTACTACAATGTTATTGAATTATTACATTTTGGAATTAATAATAGATCACTTGTGTTCAAAAGTTGTATCTATTTTTGACTAGTTGCTTCGAAAATCGATATCAATAAAGTTTAACCCCATGAATCACTTCATAATTCCAAACAAAGTTGAAATGTTTGTGAATCTGGCCACGATCCAAGCATTTCTAATCTGGCGACAATTGAAGCCAGTTATTTGGCGAAACGATGGGTGATCGCTTCACTTCCACTTTAAAATGGTGACTCCTTCACCTGACATGTGGTATTCTCATTTTCTTCTTCTTGGCGCCCTTCTTGTTGGAATTGTAAGGATCGTCGTCTGCAGGGTTCTTGGTGATTTTGCAGTCTATGAGGAAAGAAGCGAGCAGGGGGAGTCGCCATTTTCCTTTTACTTTTGGTTTGGGGATGCCAAAGATAAGCAGCTTGTAGAAACCTATCCTTGGAGGAGTGATCGTAAAGGAGATTCGGGTATCGGAGTCCTCTCTGTTGATGATCCCTCTGGTATCCATCTCCTTGCCATTCGCATCAAACAACTGCAGAAATAAAAATTCATTTTATAACAATATGCATGCAGTTTTAGCTTTTTTATAGAAGAAAACTATTTCGAAATTTCCTTTCCATTGCCCACCTGGAGAATGACCTTTTGTCATGCAGGCATCAGAAGGGCAGATTTATTGGCCATTCTTTCAGGGGTACCAAATTAGGTGGACCAACGTTGTTCCCACAGTAAGGACAAATGGTACAAAGAATGAAAGAACATCCATGCCTTGCCCTTGATTCGAAACTAGAACCTTTCTGATGCAAGACCAGTTCCCTAACTCCTACACAAACCGGTCGGCATGATTGCGAAATTAAACATTCTCACTTTTAAAAAAAAATTTATACTCGATTTTCACAAAATGACGAAACTAATTCCTGGATAGTCTCCGAGCGAACATTTAGTCAAAGTGATGAAGTAATATTTCTAATGCAAGACCAGTTCCCTAACTCCTACATAAACCGGTCGGTATGATTGCGAAATTAAACATTCTCACTTTTAAATAAAAATTTATACTAAATTTTCACAAAATGACGAAACTATTTCCTGGGATGCGCTCCGAGCGAAGATTCAGTTTAAGTGATGAAGTAATACAAACTTCTTCATTTCATCACTTCTTCAATGAAACTATACTATCTATTGTCACTTCTTCGATAAATAACTATCGTCACTTTTTAAGGAAGCGAATTTCGTCAAAGTAAAGAGATGGTTAGTATTTCGCCAATCTAGTTTCGTCAAATTAAGAATTATTTTCGTAATGAGAGAGAGATGAGGTCTAGAATTGAGAAAATATTTTTGTCATATTAGAGAGTTCGCGTTTCGTTACAAATCACGTGATTTCGTAATGAAATAATTAATTCTCATAATTAATGAAATACATCTCAAGAACTGCTGAATCGTCAAAAAGGAGAGTTTTATTCTTGAGAGTACAGAAAATACATTAAATATTTTTCAGCTATTTAAAATCAACTCAACTTAGCAAGTCACGCATGACTATCCTCTTTTTGTTAACCCAAGTATTGTCCTTCAGCAGTAAACTGCTCCAGTTTTTAACCCAAGTAAAATATAGCAAATAAAAACTAATAGTAAGTAAAATATAGCAAATAAAATACAGCAAATAAAATAGCGGCAGTTTAGTCAAAAAATTTTCAAGAATGAATGAGCTATTTATAAGCATAGATATTGACAGTATACAAAAAATATGTTAGCGATAGCTCTAACTTGCATTTAATATTGATTTTTTAATTCGGAGGGATTTCTCATTAAAGCGTAAAGGGATTCTCGCGGAAATTTACAGAAATTGTCAGAAAAGCAAAGACTCTCTGTATACTGTCTTCTACAGTAAATTGTGAAAAACTGTGTCCTCTAAAAGCCGAATTTTTAAGAAACGCAAACAATGTAATAAAATTTAAAAAAAGGATTAATTTGAAGTGTAAAATGGTTAGAGTTCTAGCAAAATTGAATGGTAGAAAATATCAACATTCTCCAAATTTTCGAACAATTGTATTATATCAAGGTTAAAATAAAGTGCCTTGTTATCGTATTAAATGTAAAGTTAATTCTTTTAAAGTTTTTTTTAAAAAGTATATCTTCTCGCGCAAATAGAATTTTTCAATAGCAAATCTTGTCGTTTAAATTTTGGGGGGAGATTTAGCACAATTTACCTGTTGCGTAATGAGCATGACTTCTGCTGTTTCGATGGTGAGTTTTCTCTTTCCTCCCCACGTGACGATGACTGGACCAATCTGATTGACAAGTTTCATTTTGAAGTCGAAGAAGGACTGGGCAGGTCCCCAAGGAACGTCGTGAAGTGGGTACGGGTTGACGTGCTTCTTCGCCTTCACGCACTCCAACAAGAAAATGGCTACATTCCTTAGGGTCGTATCTTCGTACATTTGCCACTCAGGTCTTGCGTACACCTAAAACAAAAGAAGTAATATTTTTAAAAAATGCCTTGTATTTATATTATAATTCTCTCTAAATTTACGCTCAATACCTTTAAATGTTTGTTGTTGTTGTTGACGTACGCCTGTTTAGGCAGAGAGGGTGCGATTGTTCTTGTTTTTCCAGTGGCGCCATCTATGGCCAAGAATTCGACTTCTGCTCCACCATACGTCGCACCCGTTTATAGGGCGGACCATTCATCCATAGATCGTAATTTTGACCTGAATCAGAGAACGATCGATCTCCAATTTTGTTATGGGAACATGGAGAACTTTTGCGACTCGACAGATTTAACGTGCATCAGACACTTTATTACATGGGGAGTCTTCGGCCGGCGGGGACCTTTAAATGTTTACTTAACCATAATATATTAAACCATCTGACAATGACTAACTCGTAATTAGTAAATGTCTTCTGAAAAAAGTTTAATTAAGATATTAAAATTGATGAATATGAATAAAAGAATTATCGAGAATATAAAACTGTTTTCTCCATCTGCTTTCTATAACTGTATTAAATCAAGTTGGTTAGGCTAAGGATTTATGCTAGGATTATGTTATTATATGGACTAGAATCGCGAACTCACAAATTCAGTTCAGAACTTATCCAGAAAATACAAAATAATAGTCTTAAACCATTTCGGGTTTTCCTTTCGTTCGGAAGAAATGAAATATTCGTAACTACACTACTTAATAACAGTTTCAATATATTATGTGAGAAATTTCACAGTAAGTATGTTTTTGCCATAAATAAAAGGAAATAGGTGATAATCTGGAATAGTTAATTTCCGCCAAAAGAATATAAAAATGAAAAGTTCTTACTACCAGTATTTTATCTATTCTGGAAAAGAATCAGTTCTGCAAGTAGTCAATTGAAACTACACCAAATGCAGAATTTCTAATCTCGTTGGCTATCCTGGACAGTTCTGTTGATTGTAAACTCCGAAACATTGCTTTATTTTTAAAAGCAGAATTACAGTATCTTAATGAGGTTGAATAGCTAACATTCTCATTTATTAATATCATGAAATGGGACAGTAGGTACAATTTATGAAGCATAAAACTCTTGATATATATTTTAATAATAATATTAATATAATATTTTGTCATCCCTAACCAAAAGGTTAAAAAAAATACTTTATCATTCAGAGTGTTCCACAATCATTGTTCTTTGTATACATCGATATTTTTGGAATCCTTGTTGAAATAAAGGATTAATGTTCAAGTCATGAAAAATATATCCTTTTTGAAACCTAAAGTTCAATTAACTGATTGACGACAGTTCTGTCTGAATACAGGAGTAAACTAAGATTATTCATAAATGATTTAGCAGAAAAACTTTCTGATTCCATCTAGTGAACTGGTTTTCATGTTTTAATACCGCCTTACCCAAAGGTCAGATTTTGAAAACATATTTATTGCTTAACTTTTATTATGTGTAATTTCCTTTACTTTTATTATGTGTAATATCCTTTAAAAATGTATATTAAATGTGGTGCTTTCACTGTAACCTTAATTTTAGAACTGAGTACAAAGTTATCACCTTGAAGTAGTACATTCCTTCCGTGGGCGGAGCGATGGCAAATGATCCGAGAAGTCGATCTTCCTTCAGTTGGCAGAAGACGTAGTTGTTGAGAGCCCCGTTTTCCCTGTCTTCGACCGAATACAGTTTGTACTTGTACCTTGTAGGCTTGTGGGCTGTCAATTTCAGTTCCGTCTGGACACGGAATACAACAGGATTTTGAGGACGGGATCGTATCCTGAGATTGTAATCGAAAAAGAATGGAGTGACTTTTGGCAAGGCATTGAACTCGTCCAGTTTAAGTGGCTTGTCAAGAAGCTGCCATCTGCAATACGATTTAGTTTTTTTAATCAATATAAAGCTTATCAAAGCTTATACATCAATTTTACAAGAAATATACCTTCTTAGCTAATCGAAGTTATTCCTAGTGAAGATAAGAATAGAAACATTCAATATAAATTAATTCGAGGTGGTGACTTGTACGCACATATCCATTTTAAGATAAATAGACTTTATTAGATAATCGGGGTTATTCTTAGTGAAGGCAGACATATAAACACTAAATATAAATTGAATTTTGTAATGAAATGTGTAGGCAAATGTCTGCTTTGTGAGAAACATACTTTTTTAGATAATGGAAGTTAATTCTTGTAAAGATAGGAATAGAAACTTTCAATGCAAATTGAATTGATTGAGGTGACGTGTAAGCAAAAACCTATTTTATGAAAAATAGACTTTATTAGATTATCGAAGTTATTCCTAGGGAAGACAGATTTAAAAATCTATAATCTATACATAATAATAAACGCGGCTGTGTGTGTGTCTGTCTGTAATCACAATATATCGCCCTAGAAGCCTCGCCCAGGCACGAAACTCGGCACATAATTGTGTTTTGACATAATGAAGAAGTATTTGTTTTCTTTTTCAAAAATTTGGATTAGTTTTTTAGTTATCAGTCATTTTGTAAGAAAACCTAAGCTTTTTCGTCTTCAAAGAGCCATATTCAAAAAACTATTAAAAAATGCATATCTCTTATAAATGTATGCTAATGCGAACCTTACAATTGAAATATTAAATTTCGACAACTTGAACCAATAATATACGAAGGAATTAATAATTTAATTGTAAGGTTCGCATTAGTTTACATTTATCAAAGTGGAGAAAAGTTTAACTTTTGTATTAAAAATGTGGCAACATATTCGATACGTAAATAGAATGCTTCGCTTTGATATAATTTGTCACTGTTCATCTGGATATGAAGACAAAATTGCAGGACAGGAACACTTTAATTGTCAACTAATCTTCATATTTCCTGCTATGTTTTAAAAAACTTTATTTGTGAAAACCTTTAGCGTGGCAGACAGCTGGCCGCCTTAAGCGGCTAGTATTAAATATAAGTTGGATTGTGGGATGAAAAGTATATAGACAGTAATAATAATCTTTCTTTTTACACCATGAATAAACTTGTTTTGATAGTTTTAACAAAAAGAGAAAATAGATATTTTTAAACAAATACCAACTTTACCCCATGTACTCACTTTATCCCACCTAACCTTATTTAAACAAATAAACCGTTATGGGTGAGTATGGGTCAAGAGATTTTATTTACGCTTTTTACTCTAAAATTACGGTAAAATAACCTTCAACGGTAAAATAACCTAAATAAGTCTGCCTATCCTATTGTCGGTAAAGTGTACGGTATAAAGAACATTTTTACATTTACGGTTTCGAAATTTTTTACAACTAGTATGGTTTCAAAACCGTAAAAAGAAATTTAGCTGGACATTGGAGCTAGGTTTGTCGTTAGGTTTGGGCATTGAAATTTGCCTTTGGTTGAGTTGTGTTTTATCAAATGAACCGTGGAGTGAGATTCATTTAGTTTATATGGTTGTTTTATCTATCGTAAGAGATGAGAAATACTAGACTTCTTTTGTTAAGCAGTTCTATGGTGCTGCCATCTATTCGTAAATAAAAGTACCGCATTAGAATCCAGGGTCAAAAATTGGGGAGTGCTGGACAATGGAAACTCTTCCTGTGTCGAAGAGAAATATTGTGGCGTCAATGCTGGCCCTCAAAAACTCGTTCTATCGGTCATAAGATTGACAGATTAGCCCTCTCCGCTATAAGATGTATCTAGCTCCAAGGAACTAAGTGGCTTCATTAGGTGGGTCTACTTGCAGCTATAAAATTCTGGTTGTTTAACCATATTAGGTGAAAGCAGTTAATGAGCTGCTTTTCTCACAGTTAACTTAATACTATTTCTTATTTATGGTGATTTGAGTGCGTTGTTTGAATATGGTAAAATAACGGTAAAATAATTTGTTATTTAAAATTTTTTTTTTCTGATAGCTTTCTAACAACGCACGATGTTAAAGCCAATCTCCATCCTATGTTTATTTTTGAGTGAAATTTGTTGTTGGAATTTTACAAAAATAAGTAAAGCGTTTTGTTAAATTACCTGGAGTAGTTGTTTTCCATTTCACTGTAGGGGAAATGGGTCCAGATCAAGACTTCTGGATCAGTAAGAAAGAAATGCTCATTTAATTTGTGTTGGAATTTACCTGTATGGTCAGTATACCCTGGAAGTATATTTATTATTAAATGTGGTAAGTGAAAGAGGTATCTAATTTAAAAAATTAAAGTTAACAATTATATGAGAAAAAATGAAACATTAAAAATTCTTAAATGGTTTAGGAAAATTTAAATAAAATATTAAGCTTAGAAATTAATCTGAAGTATTTAGATTATATTCTCGTTTTTTCATGCACTTTTTTTGGAATCATGACTTTTATACAAAAACAGAAAAAGATTAGAAACAGAAAGGCAAGGAAAGGGATGAAAATTAGTGGGACTGAAATGGTGAAACCGAACCGGCGAGACTATAACGTTCTGTTTCGCAATATTAGAACACGTGTCAAAAATCAATTCAAAATTCTATACACATTACATCAGGAGTAATCTTTTGAAGCTGCTTGCGAAAAATTGCGATTTAAAATTGCGAAAATAGAAAATCACTATCAAAATCAAACAAATCACTTTTAGGAAAACATAAAATAAAATGTATAAAAAACCTGCTTGCATGCCAACCTTCCTTAACCATGATTATTTAAATTTCGATAACATTTTCTTTTTTTAATCATTTAAATATTAATTTGCACCCACTACCGAACATATTTCTGAGTTTAATTTTAATCTTATAAGCCTTTTTATCAGAAGTCTTTAAGTTTTGTAAGAATTATTGATAAACTTTAAATTTTCAGATCAGTAAAATCCTATTACATAAACATAAATTTAACTTTAATTTGACCAAATTGTTTTTACTAAAAATTTCTGTAATTAAAGTTACTGTGATTTTCTTCTTTCAAATAAAGATTATTTAAAAAAACTAATTACGTTAAGAAGAAATCTAATCATTTTGTTTCAAAATAATTAATACTGCGTTACAAAAGGTAAAAAATGGACTATCGTTTAATATTAATAAGCTTTATTATTTATTAACAGGACGAAGGAGAAAATTTGTTTTTTTAAGGTCTAGGTCGCAGAATACCATGGCAAATGATGTTCAGTAATTGAAGTTGAAATTGCTGATGCGAAAAAAAAACCGTAATTGTTTCAGCAAGAGATTGCAGCCACGTGATAGAGTTTTTGGAATCAATTCAACCGTTTTGTGCCATCCTAAAATATTAACCGTCATTTTCTTCGCCAACTGTTGTGCTTTTTCATTCTATTTCACAGATAGGAGTTTTTTATGGCATATAAATTATTCCTTTCAAATACATAACAAGCAATCGTATCAGCTTTTGTGTGCATTGGTTAAAAGCAAATTGCAAATTGCAATTGCCGTATTGGATTAATAAAATCTCTTATGTTGTTGCTTCTGGTTTTAAATTGTTTTATAAAAAAAATACATAAGTTTATCTAAAATATTGATCATATAAAGCTATTCTGTAAATTACAAGCAACATTTTTATTTTTTGTTTAAATTGAAATATTAAATACTTCAAAATTTTTCAAACTCATGAAGACTTTCTATTTTCTGATAAGCATAATTTTTTGAGACTTAATAAACATTCATTATAAATTTTATAAAAACAATTCATTTTATACATTTTCAACTTTGATTAAAAAAGTGATGGCATAAGCTATACTTTAGAAATAAATACATACGGATTTATTAGTAAGAAGCCTTTTTAAATAAATACAACATAAAACTTCTCTCTGTAATAACTTTATAAAAATTTTCGTGTCCTTTATTATATTTATTTATCTAAGTTACTTTTTCAAAGCCTTATACTACATAGTTTTTGGCCCCTTTTGTACATTTTCATTAAATTTTTCCACTATAATTGAATCATTTTTCTAATACAGCAAATTATAGTGTAAGGGATAGTATATGGTATAAATAACACTGTAAAAAATAACTGGTGGCAGACTATTTTGCAAACAGTGTATATACAATAAAAGAAATACGAAACTTTTTCCAAAATTGTTTTTCTCAGATTTTCAGGTTTATGTTACATTTATCTACCTGATATTCATCCTCTTTCTAGTGGTACATCCAATGCAGAGCCATAACCTCTTTAAAAAATTTGGCCCATTCTTTTAGCTTTGTCCCATTTTTCTTGCAATTGACAATTTGAAGTAATTTCTACTTGCTTTATCATTCTTTTTCTAGGTCTCCCTCTGGACTTTAACCCTAATAATTTAAAACATTTTATCGGATACATGTTAGATACTTTTTGGATGTTTACTTATTGTTTTTTTCTTCTTATTTTATCAGTTCGCCATTTAGTTTTTATTATTGGTTTTCCATTTTTATAATCGAGTTTATTCTTATATAATGCGTCCAAATTAATGGATTCTTTTAATTCTTATAATTGTTATGACGTCTGGTTCCTTATACTTACTATAAATTTCTTGATTTATTCTGATTTCCACAGAGTCCATTTTCGCTGATCGGACAAAATTTTTTTAAATTTAACTCATGTTTGTGATCATTAAGGACAAAAATTCTATTATGCATATTTTTATATTTATAATTTGTTTATGCTTTTAATAGATGTGTCCACCACATGTGATGCGATTTTTTTTGAAAAATCTAACTTTATAATTAAATGTAATATAAAAAATGGAGTGTCTTGGGATTTGTAAATCTAGGGTAATTTAACAGTCGTACAAATTAGCCTTTGTCTGTTTTTGAATCTTCTGTCTCACAGTTCAGTATTGATTGAATCTCTCTCGAGTTTTAATTTTGTCAGACCGAAAATAAAAATATAAATTGCATTACCATCGTACTTAACTTTAACACCATTGACAGCGATGGCAAAGGGGATAGAGCTTCCAATGAGACGAACCGGGTTTGAATCCCAGTCGATACGAATTCCGCATCCGGCTTGCACCGACCACATTGCTGACGTGAAATATCCTCAGTGGTAGACGGATCATGGGTTAAAGTCCTCTTGCCGTCAGGCTAACCGTGGGAGGTTTTCGTGAACTTCCTCTCCATGTAACGCAAATGCGGGTTAGCTCCATCAAAAAGACTTCTTCTGGATTCCTTTTCTTCTGGATTGGGTTCAAAATTACAAGGCTACGGAGTAGAACATTAGTAGTCGTACACCCATAAAATTGGGTCGGTTGTTCAACGACGGTTGTAAAATTAGAAAAAAAAACCTTTTGAAAGTAAGGCACACAACGTTTTCCATTTTAGGTCAGACAAAAAAAAACTATTTACTCTTTTTTAATCTACTTAAAAATCATAGTTTTAAACTTTTTACTACTTTTTTTATATTAAAATGCCCTATTATACGAAATTGAAACTAAAATTATTAATTATATCTTTTAATAATATATTTAGGCAATTACTGAATAATTATAATACAGAACTATTTGATGAGTCAAGGGAAACCGCGTAGCGTGTCAAAAACCACTAAAGCGAGAACGAACACCACTGCAGTCACCGTAAATGATTAATCGATACCTCATGGTTTTCGATTTTTTTTTCTTATTTTCATTTTGTTGCCAATACGAGTTATCAAATCTGCGACTAGAGTGTGTCCTCGTATTTCGCAGTTGCATGGATTATTCCGTTGACAGTTATAAAATATTCAGGCTGTGATTCACTAAGTGACCCATTTTACGTTTCAAATACGATTTGTTCCAAATAAATTAAGGTATTTCTGATTAGAGGTCAAGGTCAGAATTTTTTTTATTACAATTTGTCGACGCATTCAGAAAATAACTGGTTAAAAATTGATTTGAATTAATTTATATATTCATTTGTTTTTAAAAACAAATATACAACGTAGCAGAAATTTTGAAAATGAATAATATTTTTGCTATATTCACGTATTTTTGCTTACATTTCATATTTTAGCTGGAATTTGAAAAAAATCCTCCTCCCTCCCCCTCAAAAAACAAGTGGAGTTTTATATAACTGCAAATTTTAAAATTTATACGATAAATATTTTTGAGTGATAGTTTATTTTATGCCTTTATTTATCACTCTTAGTTCGAAGCATTTGTTTTAACCACCCCGGTAGGAAAAATCTAAAAATAAATTTGAAAACCCTGAAAATTATGCCTTATTTGTACACAAATCTAACAAAATTTTAAATATTGCTAATGATTTTGATAAATTTTCTCGGCTTAAAACTACCACTATGAAAAATCTTTAGCAAATAACGTAAAAGTTAACAGCATAATGTATAAATAGTACACTTTTTAATATCTTTGAAAATGCCTAAACATGGTTTAGAAAATTTACCCTTGAATTTTATGAACGTAAACTAAAATATTTATATGCCAACATTAAAATAAGTACACCACCCAGCCATGGCCATGACCAATCATTCCGTGGCTCAATCTTTTAACGGTCATAGTAAAAATGTCATATAATTTTGACCCTGGTCAGACGACGTATACAGCGCTTGAGCTGGTACCCGTCTCTCCTAACCTCTAAACCACAACCAATGGAGGTTTTCGTATTTTTCCCAGCTCTTCAACCAGTAGTGTGGCCAACGCCTTAACCGACTACGCCAACAGAGCAGTATTATTAAAATATGCATTTAGACTCGACGTACCTGTACCCCAGGTTACATCTATGAGACGCCATGCTCCAAAAATAAAAACAGCGTTCCAAGCGTGAGTAATGTCTTCACCAGGATGGAATTGATGACCAGGTCTATAATCGAATCCTTTCGCAAATCCATGTACTCGCTTTACTCGTATGTTTGCTAATCTAAAAATTAAAATGGTAATTAATTTTGTAGGTTTACTTTACATTTAGCGCATAACAGATAAAAAAAGTTTGTATGTTGATTAACCTTTTGCTTACGGCTTGTACAACATGTGGACCACATGTGATGATGCACCGAAAGCAAAGGGTTAAAAATCTAAGAAATAAGAATGATAGAGCTCAGCAAGCAACAATCAGGTCTGTTTTGAGTGCCTCTAGAAACCCTGGCAAAAATTTAATGTGTTTTTGAGGTTGTTTTGAGGTGTTGAGGTTGGTTTGAGGTTTATTTGAAGTTGTCTTCAAAGACAACTTTGCAAAATCAACCTACCAAGGTGTGTAATCAAGGTGTATGAAGTTGTTTTATTCATTTTTGAGGTTGATGAAAATCTACCTCTGAGTAACGAGCTTAGGAACGTTGTTTTTTTATGTGTACATGTTATTTTATCTACACTTTAAGCAAATAAGTATATTGAGGGTGTGTATAATTTCACTCGATCTAATTTAAAAGTAGCGCTGAGCTATATATGAGGTTGATTTTTATGAGGTGTAAATAGGTTGAAATTGAGGTTTAATAATGAGGTTATTTTTGGTGCAAAACATAACGTCATTTTCCACATCAGGTGTTTTACTTTGCATCTATCAACCACAAATTTTTTTGTTGTTGAAGGGAAGTAAAAGTTTAAAAGATGACAAGGGTGCCTAAGATTAAAAATATATTCTAGTTGTAAAATGGTGCAGTACTCTTCGGAAATGAGGCTTAATTTTTTGCAGTATCAACATTCAAAACTCGTGTTTGTTTATCATGTGCTTTATCATTGTTTATCATAACGGCCACATGCTTCTTGTTTAAAAGGCAGTTTAAGAATTAATTTTACGAGTTTTCCCCGAGAAGCCTATACGTTTTAAACATTATGATTTTTACCACCATTCTTCTGGAAGTTGACATCGCATTCTCTGTAACTAAGATATAATCTCTACGGCCGTTCGAAATATATCTTTATGGTAGCGACATTCGAAACTTAAATTTCTTACATGGTACCACCTTTCTTACAACCTTTATATATTAACACAAAGACAGACACGAAGCCTTGTAAAACATAAACGAACTTATTATGCAACGAAGTTGCGAGGCACACAAAACAAAAATACATCACGCTTACAATAAATTACATTAAAAAAAATCTAAGTTAAGTACTAGAAGTAGACTAGAAAGAATTATATTTCAACAAATTTGATGAGCTACACGGCTCTGTATTTAATTAATGTAACGTTAATTATCATTTCAAGTTAAGTAGAGAAACTTAGCTCAACTTTAGTACTCTAAAAGATTAGCTGGTGCTGACGTCATAGGTCACATGTATTGATTGTCTTCTTCTTATTGGAGTACAAGTACCCAATTGGTTAGAAAATGTTAGGTTTCTATGCAAATTCATGATATGAAAATAATTTTAGACACTGGCATAAATTCTGTCACAAAAGCCAGATGAGATAAAAAATGGTAATTTCGAGATTACGACTCTGATGATTTGTGGCAGCTTTGTGTTTGTGAACATTAGATATAAACAGATTCATTGCTCCATGGAAGCCGTAAGCTAGGAGTATTTCTAAAACAAAGGTCACAACTAGATTAAATTGCTCATCTATGCGATTGCTGACAAAGATCTTTAAATATTTAAGTTGAATTTGTTATTTTATATGCTTTCTGATATCTATTTTCTGAGGCAGGATACATATTTGAGTCATGGAGAAAAGAGAACCTTTGGTTGAAAAAGTTATTGATAAACAATCTTTGAAATCAGGTGAAAACTTTTGGAGGCCTCAATTAAGACGTTTAAAAGAAGAAGTGCATTCCTTAAACTCGCAATCTTCAGAAAAAGATAAAATCATAGAGGGTTTAAAAAAAGAATTAAAAGAAGTAGAAGTTCGCAAAGCAGAGTTAAAACGAGAAAATCTGCAATGCCTTCAGAAGATTGATAAACTAGAAAAAAGTTTGAAAGAAAATTCCTCAAAGGTTGGACAAACAGCAGAAGAGCTGAACGCGTCGTCATCTTTGATTGAAAACTTAAAAGAACGAAATAAAAAATTAACTAGTACGAAAATGTTTTTAGAAAAAGAGGTTTCCAAGAATTCTTCCCTGTTTGAAAAAGTAAATGATGAGCTACAAGAATTGAAAAAGAATTTTAGCGATTTGCAAGAAATTCATCAGAGTAAAGTTAAAGAGACGCATGTTGAAATGCAGAATAAAAACAAAGAAATCAAGGAACTATGCATTGCTGTGAGAAAACAAATGCAATTAATTCATAACTTGAAGAGGCAGATAATTCATATAAAAGTAGGAATAGCAAAGGAGTTCACGGAAAAAGAAGTTATGAAGGCTATTGATAAGTGGTAAAACATAACAAACTTATAACTTTAAGGAATGACATGTTAAAAAATTATGTGAATACACTTATGAGTTGAAAATTGGAAATTCGTATTCTTATGATACATCTTAATGTCATACACTTCTAAGTAAAAATTATCTTTCATTCATAAGATATTACATTAATTTGTGCTTTTTTCTTGTTTTTTCTTCCTTAATTTCTTTCCTACATAAAAAATTACTGATAGTTATGTCTACTGTAGCGAAGCGTTCTTAATAAGATCTCTAATCATTAATCTAATAATTGACACTTGCAATTAAGTGTCAATTATTGATAAGTGAGGGAGTCTATATGTTACGGTCGTTTATTATTAATACTAACAGCTCAATATTAATGATAGCCAAATAAGCCTGTTAAAGTGATTAATTTAAGCAAAAGTGATAAACATTAACCGGTTATTATTACAAAAGCCAAGGCGCCAGATTGATTTTAAACTGGAAATTTTGTTTAAAAAAACATGTAGAGTTTTGCCAGGGGGTGGCTACGAGTTATACTCTTCAAGTTGGTCCCTTTAAGTAAGTTTTTTTTTTTTTGTACTTTCGCGGGCTGCTGCCTAGAAGTTGCCAAGACTTAGGGAAGGGATTATTCTGAAGCAGATCACGATACAGAAATCTACATTTTTATTCTTTAATTAAGACCAAAATATTCGGTTATTATTAATATTGATCAATTAGGTGTTAATAATAACCGGATTTATTATACTTAACATACATACTAATTTCCCAAATTAAAAGATGCTACATAAATCTGAAGAAAAAAATAGTTTTTGAGTTTTTAATTTAAAACATAGCAACTCAGTTACTTTCCGACAGAAAGTTTTTTTTCTCTAAAACTACAAAATGTAGAGCTAAACTACATCGTAATCGTTCAAAAGAGACATTTTTTTTGTTAACAAATAAAATCTGTAACCATTCATACAGATGTATCTGTAGGGTACAGATTTTTTCGGTTTTGAATATGAACATTTTTGGTATCAGAGCGACAACAAATAATTTGATGAAGTGATAATGACGGTCAAATTATATCGTAGTCAAGGAGTTGGTGTCATACCAGGATGGTCGGAGTGCGAATCCCGCTTCGGAACATCTAAACGATGAAGAAAAAAAAATTACGAGGATTTTTTTCAAACATGACAGTTTTTGATACCTCAAAAGTCACTGTAAAAATCCCTAAAAAATAGAATAATTTAAAAACTGTAATGAAAAAGTTATAAAAGTCTGTTTCCCTATGCAAACCAGAAGGAATACAGCTACTTTCATTTCAAATTTCTCTGCTGCATCCTGATCCATGGAAAATAGCTGCTGGGGAATTATTTTGCTATTGAAAATTTTTGTTAACGTATTTTCACCCTCATCATCATCATAGTTGGCCAGACAGCCCAATGTGAGCCAATGCCTNTTCGGTTTTGAATATGAACATTTTTGGTATCAGAGCGACAACAAATAATTTGATGAAGTGATAATGACGGTCAACTTATATCGTAGTCAAGGAGTTGGTGTCATACCAGGATGGTCGGGGTGTGAATCCCGCTTCGGAACATCTAAATGATGAAGAAAAAAAATTACGAGGATTTTTTTCAAACATGACAGTTTTTGATACCTCAAAAGTCGCTGTAAAAATCCCTAAAAAAATAAAATAATTTAAAAACTGTAATGAAAAAGTCTGTTTCCCTATGCAAACCAGAAAGAATACAGCTACCTTCATTTCAAATTTCTCTGCTGCATCCTGATCCATGGAAAATAGCTGCTGGGGAATTATTTTGCTATTGAAAATTTTTGTTAACGTATTTTTACCCTCATCATCATCATAATTGGCCAGACAGCTCAATGTGAGCCAATGCCTTCCTCTGAAGATTTCTCCACCATGACGACTTCTGATTCACCCTTGATCTCCAATTCTTTTCATAAATTGCGCAAAAATCAGAATCCACTGAGTTAGCTCATCTCAACCGCGGCCTTCCCTGCTTTCTTGTACCAGTGGGTCTAAAGAGCAGTATCTTTTTTATTGTATTGTCATCACTCATTTGAATCACGTGGGCCATCCAATTCATTCTATTAATTTTTATGTATTTAATAATATCAGGATGCTTATAAATCTTTTACAGTTCAAAGTTAAATCTCCTTCTCTAGTTATTGTTTTCATTTATACCACCAAGTATACTCCGCAAAATCTTTCTCTCAAATTTTGTGATACAATTTTCCTCCTGTTTTGTCATTGTCCAAGCTTCAGAAGTGTATGTCAAGACTGGCCGCACAAGAGTTTTGTAGATTAAGAACCTTGTTTCTCTAGAAAGAAACCTAGATTTAACCCAGATTTCGTACTTTTACCCTACTACACGGATTATTTCTGGCAACTGTGCCAGAAATTTTCCATAATATAGCAGAATTATTTTTAATACTCTGAAGCTTTGTTTTAATACTTAAAAAAAAGACACATTTTTTTCCTCTTAAATTAGTTATTCTCTTAGAATTTTTCTAATTGTTTCCTTTTCTAACTCTGTGTATCTCCTTTTTAATTCTATTTTTTTAAATTCTTTAATTAATTTGAACTAAATTGTCTTGTATTTCGCATTCTGGAATAATCGGCAGTGATATTAAATGTATTTTAAATCAATATTTTCTAGTTAAAAGTTTCCGAACACTTTACGTTTTTTTTAACGTAAATTTCTACATGTAGCTTACAATGAAGCAACCTTTTACTTTTTTCTGTACATACATCAATTGTTACAATTTAGGTCATAAATGACAATCAAAGATGTCCCATTTCTGCAATTGTATATCTAAGTGCTTACATTTTAAATCACAAGCCTTTCGTTATTAAACGTACTTTAACTATTCTTCATACTAGGTCAATGAAATTTAGAACTATCAAGTCCTGAAGCATGTTTAAAAATAGAACTTAAGTCAGTGCTAGTTTTACTAATTACAAATTCTCTTGGCACTATTTTACTCCACTTCCGGTCAGATCAATGACCGCTATTTACATATGCTGTTGCTAAGCGTGGCCTGCGTGACGTAGTACATTTTGCGTGATGTGAAAAAGAGGAAGTGTCTATTGAATTTTCTTTTATTACATGCTACTCCTTTTTTAACTTGTTGCATTTAGATGATCTAAAGTAATTTAAGGAGATTCATTTCTTCATATATTCATGAAATATTCACGGAAAGTTAAATAAATAATTCCAAGAAACTGAAGCGGTAAGATACTACTTGATAAAAAAACTTCAAAAATATACAAATTGGAAGGAAGATTCTACATGTTTCAAGCGCTCGAGAACAGGGGCTCATTTTTATGACTTGTCAAACGTGAGTGAGAAGAAATAAATGTGTTTATAAGATTTGTTACGTTTGTATTATATATATACAAACGCAACGTTTCCAACAAAAAAATAAACAATAAAAGTGAGGAACAAAGTAAAAGAACCACAGTACCCGAGAGAGAAAAAAAGATGAAAAATAGAACGATAAAAACCACAGTGGCTGAGAAGCTTTATATTTCTAATTTTTCGTTGGTAACCTTATCGTAAGCTACTTGTTCAAGTTTATTCAAGTCACTTATGTTTCTTCTCATTTATGTCTGGCAAGTCCTGAAAATGAGCGCCTGTTTTTTAAAGTTTGAAGCAAGTCGACTGTTACTTCGAATTTGTATAATTTTAAAGCGAATGTAATTTTTAATCAAATAATTTTCGTGGAGAATGCTCGCAATAACAATAACTTATTTACTAAATTTAAGAAAGAAAGATTAAGATTCATTTTTGGTGCGTTTGAGGGAAAAAAATTATTGCATTAAATGCTGTCCTCAACGATATGAATTTGAATGTCTGAAGAATTTATTAGTGAGATTTTACTTTTTGTTTTTGAAGATGCGAAGTTCATATGGTAGATACAAACCAAAGTAAGTAATTAATACCTCGGAGAAATTCATATTACAACTTTCTTGACTATTAAAGAGATTTTGCACGACTTTCCTTTGTAAACTCCTCCAACTGCTCACGCGTAAAGTAATCATCGACTGATTGGATATTGCACTGTAACGATACATTTAAACAGAAGATAGAACTTAACCAGTGTGGAAGGCAATTAAATCTACACCATTTTTAGAAAACAACCGAGGCTATTGTGCAGTAACTGAACGTGCTTGACGTGCATTTACGTACTTGAACGTGCGATACGCTAACTGAAAGTGCCAAGTCTCAACAATGTATCCAAAGGATATCTCAGTTCTTCTTTGTAACGAACTTTATAGTATAAAATTACTATTCTTATTAGATAAACAAGTCACTAATCATTATTCTCCTTAAATAAGCAATATCTCTTATATCTGCATGAAATTAATAAAAACTAATATCTATTATTTTAGACTTTGTTTGCTAGAGAGTATTAAAAGCTTTACACTAGAAAAAGGAACACCTCCATTTATTGCTATGCTCACAGTTGGCTTTAAAACGTGGAGATGACGCGCTCGAATCCCACCGCAATTCTACATGTATCTTTGCACTCTGATGATTCTCAATAACAGTTTTAAAAACAGTTGCTGGTTTCAAAGGAGTCATTATTATAAATATGAGTTTAACCCTATAACTGGAAACATTCACAGATTTCATGTGAACTTTCTGAATGAACTTTATAGCATTAAAACAACGATTGCTATAAAGATAATCAAAATAGAAATCGAAACAAAAACTTCGTTTGTTTTTATTAGATCCCAGCTAGAATAAATTTATTTAAGCCTTTTCTAATAATTATTATTTAAAAATTAAGTTGGTTAGCGAAATATACGTTTTAATGAAAACCCACTGCCGGCCAGGTGGCCGAGCGGTTAGCGCGCCTGACTACGAAGCCAGTGGCTGCGGGTTCGAATCCCGCTCTGGGCATGGATGTTTCTTTCTTTGTGTTGTCCTCTGTTGTGTGTGATGTGTGAATGTGGCCCACCCTATGAACGGGTTTGTGGCAGTGTGGTGTGGGTAATGTTGCTCGCCTCCGTGATTTGGTTCACAGGTGCCCACTGGGTAACGTAAAATGAGTAGCAATTCCGGCATCTTCTAAGGCGAAGAAAAAAGTTCAGTGCCTGCCATTTGAAGAAAAAAAATGAAAACCCACTATGGATTATATCATTGTTGTTGTTGATGTACGGAATTAAGGGAAAGGGGGCACTGCTTCTTGTTTTCCAGTGGCACCACCTATGGCCCAGAATTCAACTTTTGCCACACACATATATCGCAGCTCGTTTAAAGGGCAGACCCATTCATACATCCACAGATCGTAATTTTTGCCTGAAACAGTGAACGATCAATCTCCAATTCAGTACCACCAGAGGTATGATTTGAAGAAGTATGGAAACACTAGACACGGAAGTCTTGATTTGACCCGACAGATTTAACCATTTACTCCTCCGGGAGTCTTAGGCCGGCGGGGATCGAACTCACGGCCTCTTGGACATGGGCTCAATAACATACCAACCTGTATATCCCGGCCCCCATTACAGCATTGATAAATTTAAATATGGGCAGTTAAAAGAACTTCAGTTTTGATTTGTTATACATTTTGATATGATGCAAATGGTTAACTTACTTGCACATTTCACCGAAGAGTTTACAATAATCTTTACATACTCCTTCCCCTTGTTGTAGTACTTGATCTGCACTTAGTTTCACATCCATGTATTTCCAATCATAACTGAAAATAAATAATGAATTTTAATGGATCAAAATAAAATATAAATCGTTAAACGTAGAAGAATTTCATAAAAGTTGCAATGTAGCTAAGGGTTCCTCAAATTTAAATAAAAAAATGTGTCAAAATAACTCCGAAACAAATTATATTCGATTTAAATCCCATATAATCAAAATTGAAACAGCATGTATGCATTTTTGAACAAAATACATGTGGAATACAAATCCACGAAGCAACCATCCCAATCACGTGACATCAAGGACACTTACATTTACATTAATCTTACTTGTACACCTTGTAGATGGAATCAGTTGGAATGTCTGGCTCGAGTAGGACGCCAACAGAAGATGTAGCTTATTTTTGCTTTATTTAAAACCCTCTCTTCACCCCCTTTATTCCACATACATATAGAAGGACAGAAACGTGAGAGAGATGTTCGTTGACGTAGGATTTAAACCAAGGATCTCCATCGTTTAAAAGTCTTTAAGATATAGAGAAATAAGCAAAAAGCGAAATTAAAATTATTAGTCTCTTGACTATATTGGGGTCAAAGTTTCCGAATTTCAACCCTTTGTAACATTGCATTTGGAAATTAATATCTAATAATTTCTCATTGCGATTACCACTATACAAAACTTCCTAACTCTCCTTGGATTGTACAACTATAGTGGTTAAAGCATCCAACTATGATCCCGGAGAAATTCTGCCGGCAGCCTCTGGCACATTTTCCCCTCTTTGCACTTTTGAAATAGTGCATTTACTCAAAAATGAGAACAAATTTAAATACAGTTACACATTTGAATACAAAGAGATTTAGAATTCGAATGTTATTTGTTTTGGAGTTATTTTAGTACATTTTTGTACAATTTCAAGAAACCCTTTTTTACCGTGTGTGCATATTTTGAAGTCAAAATTCAAATCAGATTGCCAAAGCAAACTATTAATATTTTAAAAGATTTCAACATGTAGGAAAATATTACTAGTTTGCTTTGTTGCTTGTTGCAAATTACGACTTCAATGTTTCTTAAACATTTGTTTAGGCAAATACTTCTATATAATTCTTTTTCTTCGCTAAATTAATAACTGCAAATATTAATAAAGTAGTATTTGTATGCCAAATTGAAAAATTCTTTAAAGTAGGAGGTTCCGACCTCAACTTGCTCTGTTAACAGAGTTACCTCTCATTCTCCTTTGCTTATTGTTCTTTTAAAAAACAATATTTTTTAAAACAAAGATCCTTTTATTAATGAAATATATATTTATTATAATTTTGTGCCAGAACATTTGTTAGTATATTAATCGTAACAAAATGAAATAGTTTTTTTGGATTTGAAAAATATTCACTCCGTTGTATTTTTACGAACTGCAGAGCAGCTCGCATAATACTTTTAACACAAGTTTAACAGTTAACAATTATTAAATCCATTCGTTAAATTTTTCTCCATCGCACTTCCTGTACATTTTTCGACACTCCTTTCTAATTTCATCATCAATTGGTTGCATTAATTTGCTGTTGCACAGCAAATTGATGTAACAGCAATTTCTAAAATGTGACGAAAAACAGCGATAGTCTCTCTTATATGTTTTTGATGTAAAGAGAGAAATAGCCCCTTTTAAGAGATTTCATTATATTAAATAAAATCTCGTAAATATAATTCCTATCAAAAGTTTATTTAGTTTAAACAGCTTAATACAGACATTTCGATAGTAACCATATACTGGTGTATCTATAAATATTTTATTATAATATATTTCCATTTATTGATGTTTTTCCAAGTTCTAAAAAATATTAGCTATTCTTCAAAATTTTAAATAATAGTTGTTAAATAATGATTGATGATGATTGATTACTGATTCTATTTGACAATAAAGTTGTCATTGATCGGTAAAAAATAAGTGTATGGCTTTATAAGTAGCGAACTCAAAATAAATTCGTTTTTTAGAAGGATAACTCAAAGTGTCGCAATAGAATAAACACCATAAAAGTTTACCTCATTATAAGATTGTATATCTCTTTGTGTTGATAAAAATTTAGATGTAAATCTTTCACTTGTGCTAATTTAACACATTCCCTTACAAATAAAAAATGTGTTATCTACCTTAAAGGAAATTTCATTCTAATTACAATGAAGTATAAATTCAAGATGTAGATTCATAATTGTGTTTCTATTTCATCCTACTTGTAACGTATCATCATCATCGGCACAACCACTTAGGTGGGCCTTGGCCCTCTTCCAAGCAGTTCTCCGTGTATTCTCTATTACCTCAGAACTTACCAGATCAATACCTTAATGGTTTTGAAATTCATATTGGTTTATGGTGCCCAAACTTCGAAGTTTTAGATGGCCTCTAACTCGGCTGCCAGTTGGTATAGGTTTTAGTGTTAGTATTAGTATTGGTTTATGGAGTCCTCGAAGTTTTAGATGACCTCTAACTCTGCTGCCAATTGGCTTAAGGTAGAATAGGTCTAATGTGTTTAGCTAGTCGTTTCAAATATGCCCTACAAATATCATTCTGTTTAAATTCATAAATGTCATTACAACAAAATTCTCATGAGTTTTGTTAAATTTCATATTTGCTTTTCAGAAATTGCCCTCTTTGGCAAAGCAGAAAATAGTCTGAAAGATTTTTTTTGCAGATCTTCGTGACGTATACAGTTAAAGAAATGTTATTGTAAAGAAATGATTGTACTCACGTAATGTTATTAGAAATCCACCTAAAAAAGGCTCGCACTTTGAGAAGCTCAGTTTCTGCCGCAGCAGACAAGTAATTCACCAGATTTCGAAGGGAAGATTTTGCTGATTCTGGTGCCTGTAAATGCAAAATAGTAGTTTCGATTCCTTTTTAATAAGGTCAGATTACAATATTTTTCCATATTGCTTTGTTTAATTTATCAGAATTTAGTTGTAAAAGATTAAATACATCATGGTGATTGTTGCATAAATGTAAGAAACAAGTATTGTAGCTCAAGACACTCAGCACATTTTTATTTTTTTGCTCCGAAGGTAGTGATTTACAACTTAAAGACAGCCTTTAAAAACATATACATTTTTCGCTGCAATATTTCACCCAACACGAGTGTATTTATAATTGAAATTTGCCATCCATTTAAAATAAACATTTTATACTGTTTTAAAGTAAAATACCTTGTAGTACCTTTCACTGAGAAAAAAATATGGTCAAAACTACCAGAATAGAAAAACTTACCGTATTTCTGGCTCTATATGGGAACACCAAATAATTCGGTATAGCTTTCAGCGAAGTGTTTTGGTTATAATTTTGGTAAGATTAACAATGAAGTATGGTTTTACAATAATCGATAAATTTTGGTAAGCGTGGTAAAACTTGATAATTTTATCATAATACCTCTGACTCATCTCTGATCAAATCTCTTACTCATTGTTTAAATCTTAATATCTTTATATTATGTAAATTCTGCAATTATTCGTGTAAGTTTAGGCAGTCAAAACAATCTCTAATTTTATTTACAGAAAATTAAACTAGATTTATTATAGTGTTGTTTAACTATTTTTAAATTTGAAATTAACAATTTTATACACTGTTACAAATCAGATCTTGCAACGACTTTAGGTTGAAATTTAAAGTGAACCCAAACTTTTAATTTTCATTTCGATGGAACAAAGTTTGATTTATCGACGTTAGTTTCCCCTATATTCAATGAAGCTATAGCTCTTTGGTACCCATTGTTTGTCATAGAATAAAGTATTAAAACATTGTATTAAATCCAGATTATAGGTTTTAGCATAATAAAAAAGTTTAAATAGATTGTATGCCTAGGGAAGTATACTTCCTACTAAATTTATACATAATACTGTTTTCCCCCTTAGTTGCGCGAAAATTAGCCGACTTCTAAAACAAAAAACAAATTCAGGGCTTTGTTTACATTTTTGGTTATAGTTGAATCAAGAGAAGAAGTAAATACTCGGCAGTTTTTTTTAGTTATGCGTTCATTCATTTGATCATTTCTAATGGAGTTTGTTCGTAGTTATAAACACATATTTTATAAACTCTGGCATTTTATGGTTTAAAGTTCATGCAAGTTCTTTACTGCAGGTAAAATTTTAGAATTAAATCAAATATAAGGTAATCTTAATCCCAAAAATAGTTTAGCTTAAAATCAATTGAAAAAATTGCCCTAAAAAGTTTCAAATAAAATATATACGTTAAAAATTTGGAGTATAAAAATCAAAAGGAAACACTTACATGAGTGGTTTTACAATAATCTAAGATATAATCATACTGATCTAATTTTGTTGAAATTTAATACATTCTTAATTTGGATTCGTACTTGTATTGCTTAATTATTTTAGATGTAACTCTATCATTTCTTAAAACCTTCTAGTAAGGAAGGGGCAACGTACATTTTTGCTTTAAAACTGCGTAAATTAGAGTGAAATTTTAAATTACATTGAACCTGTACGTTATATGTTTATTTTAAAATTTGAAAATGAATATCTTATTCTATATTTATTCGTGTGGTTAAATTATTGAAGACTTTTACTGCATTCGATTTTTAAATTTTTCCTATGTCCTGAAATTCGCAGAGCTAAAAGGAAATATTGTCCGTTAAATCTATCTTTAGCTTTTAAAATTACTACTATAGAGTTCAGAAATATTTCCTAATTTGATAAGTGAAAAAACAGTTAAAATTTTTCCTGAAACATTTTCTTTTTGGGAAAAAATACATAGTTTAATCTTATACAATGAGATCAATAATTTCTTTTGTGAAAAAAAAAACACCATTGCCTATACGAATTAAGGAAAAGCCATGGATAAAATAGAGAAAAACAGTGTAATTTGCAACATATAATGTAAGCTTTAAATGTCTCTAGATTTATGATTATTGGATATAATTACAATATAATTTTATTAGATATAGTTATAATTAGATATATTTTAGTGAGATTTATGATTATGTTAGAAATAAGACTTAGTATAATTAATCAATAGTTACATTTCTCGCTTGATAATTCGAAACTATCGAGGACAAGTTCTAAGTAACTTATGCTTCATTGAGGAATTTCACTACTTGAACAGTTTCTTACTAATTTACTAATCTACAATAACACCTTAACAAACTTTAATTTATTGACTCAGGAGTTATAAGATTTCAATAGCTTAACATAAACTGTGCGTAAGAGGTTTTTAAAAAGTTCTTTTAANAAAACAGTGTAATTTGCAACATATAATGTAAGCTTTAAATGTCTCTAGATTTATGATTATTGGATATAATTACAATATAATTTTATTAGATATAGTTATAATTAGATATATTTTAGTGAGATTTATGATTATGTTAGAAATAAGACTTAGTATAATTAATCAATAGTTACATTTCTCGCTTGATAATTCGAAACTATCGAGGACAAGTTCTAAGTAACTTATGCTTCATTGAGGAATTTCACTACTTGAACAGTTTCTTACTAATTTACTAATCTACAATAACACCTGAACAAACTTTAATTTATTGACTCAGGAGTTATAAGATTTCAATAGCTTAACATAAGCTGTGCGTAAGAGGTTTTTAAAAAGTTCTTTTAACTTATAAAACTGCAATTTTTTACAGATAAAAAGAATAATAAAATTTTCCTTATAGAATATATAGACAACTACAAATGATTAGTAAAAGATTTATTATCTTGTCCAGCTCAAATCTCTCGTTGAAATTAAATTGATTTGGGGTTTTGAACTTCCTCCTCGCTCCCGTGAAAATGACGAGGTGAGGTTTTGCCTCTGTTTCTCGCTCCCGGGAAATTTTCGGGCTAGAGTTTTCAGTAGTAACGCGCCAATAAGAATAAAATAATTTATTTCTTTTGTCCAGAAAACTTTTTATTTCTCATTTTACACACCAGATGGCAGTGCCAGGATATTGTTAAGGTAATTGTAGATAGTTAGTTTATTTTAAACTAGATGTCAGCACTAATCAAGTACGTGTATTTGGCAAAATAGGCACTTTTATGACCGTTTTCTTGAAAATTGACCGATCATCAAGGGGTTAAGAAAGAATAGTAATTTACAGAGATAATAATTTTAAGAGTAAAATGCTTTATAGTCAAATTCTTGTGCCGGATATCAAAATTTGCAAAATTTTGTGTTTATCATAGTGTGTTATCATAGTGTTTAAATTACTAAAACTTAAACAGTATAAGAGGAAAATTAAACAGTGTTCCATGAAAATTAATTTCTTTTAAAAACTTAAGAACCTGACGTGATAGAGGAAAATTGTTTTCAGATTTTAAACCAGCATAAACAACTAGATTAGAGAAGGCGAACACCATACCGGATATCTATACACTGTAACACACTGTGGATCACATCACGGTAAAAAGCACCGGCATTCATGATGCCGATACTCTTAATCGCTTAATCCTAATATTACGGAACAAAAAGCCTGATACACCGTAATAATTAGTGTAAAACCACTTATTAAATAAATATGACTGTTCACTCAGGCTTTTACCGTAAAATCTACATGTAAAATCTAACATGTTTCAGAATGGAAAATCTGATATAGTACCGAAATTTTTACAGTTATAATAACCATAAAATCCCTGAATCATTCTAATTAAATATAGCTGTAAAAGTTATGGCATAATCGTAATACTGTATAACTATCGTAAAATATTACACCATAATTTTTACAGTGATAATTACTATAAAATCACTGAATCATTCTAACTAAATACAGCTGTGAAAGTTGTGGTATAATCGTAATACGGTATAATTATCATAGAATATTATACCATAATTTTTACAGTGATAATTACTATAAAATCACTGAATCATTCTAACTAAATACAGCTGTGAAAGTTATGGTATAATTGTAATACGGTATATTTATAGTAAAATATTACACCATAATTTTTACAGTGATAATTACTATAAAATCACTGAATCATTCTAATTAAATAAATATAGCTGTAAAAATTACGGTATAATATTTTACGACGAAAATGGATTTCACGGTTGATATGCACCTAAAGTGCAAATACTTTATGGCGTAATTTTTACTTTTTTTACAGTGTAGCTTGTTTTTCTGGTGGTATTAATTACAGGGCGTATAGCGCTTTTAAAAAAGTGCTTAAAGGTGCTTATTTTAGATTTTTGTTTTTTGAAAGCCCTTAAAGGTGCTTTTTTCATTGGGTGCTTTTCAAAAGTGCTTAATTTTCCCTTTTTCAAAATGAGATTTTCCGTTACTATGTTGATTTTCTCTTCGAATTATGCAGAAAGACACAGTTCTCATTGTTCTATTCTGTTCAGTTCTCACAAAGAACTGCATCTACTCCCGATTCTAGGAGGCCAGAGAACTTTTGTTCAATTTAAGTTCTTGATTTAATTTTTGTGTTTGATATTTTGCTTTTGTTTTTGTATTTTGTATATTTCATATCTTTCTGTATTTGTATTTTTCTTTTCTTTTGATCTCTGTACGGCGTTAGGATAATGTCTATTTCGCCTGCTGCATTGGAAATAAAAAAAACATTGTTCTATTCAATGTTTTCACAATTAATTCAACCCCAATCTATGTCACCGTATTGTCAGTCCGTAGCGTATGAAAGTGCCATTCGTTTTACATGATTCAAAATTTCATGATTTTTGACAATTGTCAAAAACAATGCCAAAAGTTTTTCTTTTTTTACATGACGGTTAAAGCAAGATAAAACCGTTAATTGTCAAAAAACTTTCCAACTCTTCCTAATTATAGTATTTTTTTAAAGTCCTTAAAAATATTTTTTGAGTGCTCGAAAACTGCTTATTTTTTCTTTTTTTTTTTAATAATTTGGCTACGCACCAACTAGTTTTGCTTATTAAAATGAACTCAGAATATTTTAAGCAAATCGAGTTAGTTTGAAAAAACAAAGGTCATGTATAGATCATACCTCGATAGCATGCCTGTCAACCTCTTCAAAAACATTCATGTCTGGTATCATCTCCTGTTTCTTGCAAGGGGGTGGCCTGGCAGCGTATTCTGGTGCCTCATCTGTTATGGGATCGTTGTCCGTCTGCACGCCGATCTCTCTCAGTGTTGTTTTCAAGGCATAATCCAGAATGGCATGCTTATTGAGACTATCCTCAACGTCTAGTAGCAGTTTGGTGATGCTGTCGTGGGCTGCGTCATTCGATGCTTTTTGTGAATAGTTCGAGCGAACCTCAAAGAGGGGCTCAGCTAATTCTTTTTCTAAATGTGCAAATGGAGATAAAAGTTCATTCATGTATAAAACTCCAGCTGCTGCACTGTCGGCTGTATTTGCTGCTTTCGCTGTAAAGTACAACAACAATGTATTTACACCATTACGATATTTGAAGAACTTAGTGGATGAACCAGGTAAGTGACATTTTCAGAGCAGGTATAATCGAGGTAAGAGGAAGGAAAAAAGAGGTACCCGAACAGTTTTGTTATAGATTTATTAGTAGAGGGAGCTAATAATCGTTTGTTCTATTTTATGTGTTGCCTCTTGATTAGAAATAAAAATCATGCAAGCGAAACTAATATGGATTACTTATGTTAAGAGTAAAGTGTAACCAAAAACAATTATGTTTTCATTAAACATATCCATAATTTATGCGTTATTCTCCCTGATATATAAATAGTCATTAAAATGTCACTTACCTCCTTCTTCCACTAAGCTCTTCCTTTATAAAAGTGGTTATTTTTCTTAAATATTTGCAAGGATATAGATAAATTAATATAGTTTATCTGTATAACATATTCGTTCAGTTTATAGTATTAGTTTAGGTTATATTAGTTCCTCTATATAACATATCAATAAACTAAGTGTTAATTTTCTTAAATATTTTTTTCTCGATGGAGATATTTTAAAATTATTTTCAAATACACTAGTTATTCACAACTTTTTTAATCATATCACATCAACTTTCAATCATATCACATCAACTTTTTTAATCATATTGCAAGTGATATCACATCAGGCAAAATCTCAAATTTCCGGTGCCTAATTTTCTAGCTTTCACTTCAATGCTTTACTTGTAAAATGTTTAAATGAAAAACTATTATTATGTAAGCTTTAGGAAAAGCCAAGACAAGAAGATTGATATTTTTCTCTTTTCGAAATGTAAGAGTTTTATCAGAGATTATGATCTACATTATTTTAAAGTTTGAGTGAGAGATAGAAATTGAGTGATTAAGAATTAAATGATTTTCACAAAATAAAATTTTTAAGTGTTAGATTAAAGTTGGATATAACAATTCAATGTCTTTTGCATAGCAAAATTAAGATTCAGATTGGTATTAGGTTTCGAGAATTGAATGGTGTTGCATAACTATTGAAGCTTTTGTATAACTATTGATAATTTGCGAGATAAATTGAAGCTGTTTTTTCGCATAGCGATATTGTATAAATGTTAGATTGAAGTAAAGTACACTGAAGGACAGTTTTATTTCTCTTGCATGAGATTTTTTTAACTGATCTCAGATACTTTCATATCCCTAATTTCTAATCTACAAAAAACATTTTCTCCTAGCTATGGTTTTTTAACGATAATTTTGTCTATTTTTATCAAATTGTACAAACTTAAAAACGTTATATGTATATGACAGTTGGTCACATAAAAGTTGTTGCGACAAATGTCTAGGGTAGTAACGGCTCATTATCAGGATTAAAACTGCATGCCCGGAAATGTCTTCATACGCCACTAGGGACACTGCCATATCATGGATTGTTTTTTCGTGCACTTCAAGCAGTTCTTAATAGCTAAGTGCTTTTAGTGGCGTATGACGATAATTCCAAGCATGGGAATTTAAGCAGTTTTAATCTTAGAGATGTGCCCTAACATCCCTAGAAGTTAGTCGAAGCATTTACTCAACCCCCTCTTATATATAACGTTTTTAAACTTGTATACTTTGACGAAAAAGAGATTAAAAATATTATTTTAAAAAATATAGCTTAATAAACAGAACTTATTTCAGATTTGAAATCTGCACACCCTAGCTAGGCAAGATCAGGTATTTGTATAAAAGCCAACAGAAAATTTGTTCCCCAGTGTCATCAAGAACTGAATGGTTTTTGCATAACAGATTTAAGCGTTGGATTGATGTTGGATCTCCAGAATTGAATAAGTTCGTCATAACAATATTTTTAAATATTGAATTGAGTGTATCATGAACTGAATAATTTTTGCTCAAAGAAGTTCTAAAATTCTCTAGGAGAAAAAAAATTTTCGTAAAAAAAGAAAATAAAAGATATATGAGAGCTAAATTTGAAGCTACTCACCCTTACTCATTGGTTCTGTTTGAGATTCAATGGAAAACGTTTTCGATGGCATTTCATTACTATTATGCTCTTTTTCTTTTTTAGTAAAGGTATCACTAAAAATAGAATCTAAACTATCAGTTTCTTTTTCCCCTTTATCCTCACTCTCCAGAGATGACATCACCTCTGTTTGCGTAGACACTTCTGTCCTATTAATAGTCGTTTGGACTGAAGCATCTGCAACGTCCGTCACGTATTGCTGTGGTATGTGAAACTGTTTTGTGGTTGGTAACCTTAAAAACTGATCTGCTTTGGCTAGTATCCGATCCAGGCTATCGAATCCATCGTCTAAGAGCTCTACGGGTGTCTGAGTTTCGACGTCTCTTGTGTCCCAGCACATAATAGGAGTGAGTTCAAGGTCCGTTTGGACATTGTCTGACATCCTCGAACTGTCATCCGTTTGTGCTGAAGCATTGGCCGAGACTGGTGAAGGCTTCTTGTTGTGGGTCATCCAAGCCCCTGGTAGCACCATGTCTTTGTTGTGGGGGAATGTGTTGTGGATTGGTGTGACCGCTTGGAGTCTTCGGCTGGAACCACACCCCATAGAGCAAACTGTAAAATTTGAGAACAAGTTAATTATATAAAAAATAACAAAAGGAAACATAAAGTTGTGTACGAAAAAGAATTTTATTTCATTTTAAGCATGGTCTAACAGAATCTGGCTTGAAAGTAGAAGTAAATTTTTGGAGAACGAAAATCTAACCTGGATAGGGACAGTCTTAACCCCATCTCGCCCCCATGGGGGCATCCGGGTATTACATGAAAACTATCGTTGGAGTAAACCTCGTATCAGACGACGGACCCAGCGGTGCATGGACACTCGAAATGCATGGCCCCGAGTCACGCACGTCTGAGTCACTACGACGTCAACGGATAAAGGATGCCTGAAGGGAGCAAAGCTCCGAGTCGACCACTGAGCGGCGGTGCCAAACCCAACTGTAGACGCTCAGCAAAGAGCGCTGCACAAGGAGAGCCAGCCGCCACCCCACGACCCATCAAGGCATCCTCCGCCCGGAAGGAGCTAAAACTGATGCTTTACCTTTAATGATCAAAAACAGACAACAGTGCCAAATAATTGTAGGCTAAAGCAATAGTAACAAAATTAAATTAAGATTGATCAAAGTTACAGAAAATACTCCATTTGAGTGTGTCATGGGAAGCCAAAACTGGCTCACAAAGTCATGGGGCAGAGACGAGTTCAGTAGCCGATCCTTTTCCTTAGCCTGTCTAGCTCTCTTTGGTACGCCGGACATGAATCTTTCGTGGCCGGATGATTCGTATTTACTCTAATACCGAACTTTTCGTTCGCAATGGTGCAATTAATGCTTTTCTGTTTACACTCTTTCATTTGGTGTCCTGCATCACCAAAATTCGCACAGGTTTCCTCTTTCTTACAGTCTTTGGCCATATGGCCAAATCCGTTGCACTTATAATATCGTAAGGTCCTAAGGTATTCCTTAGTTAGATGTATTCTCCATCCAAGTTTGATGGTTACCTTCCTAATCAATTTCTTAAAAGTTTTGGGGTCAAAACTGATTACCCAGTGGGTTCCCTTAATAACTCTAATTCCGAAATAACTCTAAGAATAATTGTTTTTCCCCCGTTCGGTAAAGCGTTATTCTTGACGCACTATTTGCAAGTGTATTAAATATATAAAATTATCACTCGTACACATGTAGATCACTTCGTCATTAGAGAATACATAAATATCAAAACATGTAGACTGTCTTTCTGAAGGTGAAGGTATATCTCCAGTCAGAGGGAAAGAGATACTGTATTCGTAAGACGACACTATAAGGATTAAACTAAACAATCATTGAATAATTTACTGAGATTATTAAACATATTCAAATAAAGTACAGTATAGCTCCGATCATCCTCGAGTGGATTATCTACGCTGCGGATTATCGGTGAGTTCCGAGACAGGATCAAAATGTATTCTACAAAAATTATAAATCTGTCATTGAATTTAATTTTTAAATTGTAAAAGCACATTTTTATCAATGAACTTCTTCATTTATTACTTTACTTTATCATTTATTGTTACAGTGATTTAGACGCTAAACAAAAATACCTGTTGTAAGCTTAAAATATATACACTGTGAAAAATTCAGGATCAAATTACGGCATAAAGTACTAGCATTTTTGCTGCTTCCTCTGTAATAGCCATGTACAAAATTACTTTTTGGGTTTTTCAGGATTATTAGCGATTTTTGTTATCCGCGATCCAATTCCACGAATAATTGGAGCTCTATTGTTTACTGCGTTATCCATTTAGAACTGCATTATCTGCTGGAATCATGATCAGGTCTCGTCGCATTTAATCAGCTTACTTCCCTGTAAAAAGTTCGAGATAAAATTACGGCAGAAAGTACTAGCACTTATTTATTAAAGTGTTGATGGAGTACTTCACAACTCAGGAAAAACACAATTGATAATGCTTGAAGTTTTTAGAATGTCTTTTATGATTTTCGACTTATCTAAAAGGAATTTCGGTCAGATAGTTTTTTTCAATCGAGGGAAATTCCCTTGATTTAGTCACATTTTAATGAGGATTAAAACAATACGATCAAAAGTTTTAAAAAAATTTTATTTTGACATAGGAATACGTAATTAATTGTTAAAAAATTGATGATTTGTTTTCTTCAAAATTATTATTCAACACCCTGCATACTTTTGCACTATTATTACTAGACACATATAAATATTGAAGGATAATTTGCTAGAATTTACCTTAATAGCAAAAATTTGTACTTATCAGTCTTATTTCCTTATACTATATTTTTTGATACACAAGCTTATTTGTTATGAATTTTCCAAAGAGAAATCTTTCTTATAAAAACATATTTAAATCCCAATCCCGGTATTTTTTAACACTTCTGTCGTTTTAAAGGAAATGTTTATTCATGCGCTCAGTATATTTCCTAGTGAAAATTTTCTTCGCGTTTTGAAAAACCTCAAACATCATGTTTTCATTACCCAATGCTTGTTTCCCAGCAAATTAACCATATGATAGTCGTTCTTCTAATAAGGATAACGAACCATTACGAAACGAAAAAAAAAAGGTTTAAAGAGCTATTGATGTATTTGTGAGGACTATTTGTAAAAATGTTGCACGAACTCAACAAATGATTTTATTTTATGTTCCACATTTTGATATTTTTTTTCGCTTTTATTAGTGTTTATATTCTCCTCCTTATTTCATTTCTTTTTAAATTTAATGATAGAAGGTATCTAGAATTATTTATTGTACTATTATTTACTACCGGAGTTTGCTTAATTGTTCTCAATTATTGTTCTTTTTAAAAATGATCTGAAATTTTTAAAAAATCTTCATTTTATGATAAATATATTTAACTCAATTTCCAAACTTTATTATATTAAAGTATTTGATTTCATTAGAAATATTTAAAATTCATTAAAATATCGTAGGCAACTGTTCTTTGTTTGATTTTGAAATAATATTTTGTTTATAATAATGCAAAGTATTTTATTTGACTTAATATTATGTAAAATGTTATTCAATACAAATTTAATAGTAATGCAACAATTAATTTTTGCATGTAACTATTTTTTGTTTCCTTCTTTGTAATGCAAATCATAAATTAAATAATCCTTAAAATCTATTATTACCCTAAGGAGATGAAACCCTTATTAGAGCTTACTGATTATTTAATCCTACTGATGATTTATATCTCGCGAATATTAATGTTAAGTAAAACATTTATTCGTAATTCATAGACTAAGAAGTCATGCATCACTAATTTAATAAGAATACAAGAAAAAGAATTTCATGTGTAAATGATTTTAATTCCAAACAGTGTAGTTCTTTTACTTCTTTAGAAAGCGAGCCGTAAATTACTTTTCAGAATCTATTATGTCTCTAAAAATAGTTTGAATCTTAATTGGAAGATTGATTGGAGCATATTGATTTGTTCCAACTTAGAGTTCAAAACGGAAACAAATATACAAACGGCTATATACACATGCAGAACAACTATTAAGAAGAAAATCACTAAAAATTTGTTTTAGTATTTCACGTTGTTTCTTTACATAAAGGATATCGTGAAGCATTATTTTTCTTTTTTGGTCTAAATCGTCTGACGCGTGAGGTAGTTGTATCTAAGATAATGATTTTTGTACTTTCACAGTTTTGGCAACGATTTTTGGTTGCTGTTGTCATATACTGGAAATGCGTCAAACAGGAGGTGTCGTTGAAATCGAAATGCTAACGTGATAAACGAAAATAAATAATGATATGTACCTCTGCCTCGAAATCTGAAATTCTATTTCTGAATAAATGCATTTATATCTCTTGTTCTACTAGCGAACGAGGTTAGTTGTCGTTTAAGGTAAATATCTAAATCGTTTGCACTTTGTTACAGAATATTTACTAAAATAAATTCAAAAAATTAGATGCCAACATTACATTCAAAATATCTTGGTTTTTGCTTTCCTAATTAATGTTTTTAAAATAATAATTCCCCAAAAATTTATAGGTTTCTTAATAGTAATAGGTTTTTTAATAGTAAACAGACACAATATTTTCAAACGATTACATAAAAGATTATAGAAAAGATCAAACGATTACACAAAAAGACGTTTTAGGAGTCGCTTTCAATGTTTGATGTTGAATAAAATTAAACTTATCAAGGTTAATTAAATAGTAAAATGTCTACAGCAATTGAATGAAAAATGTGTATAGTTCTTAATTACTACATTTATCATTCAAGATTATTTTATTGTCTTGAAAATTAGAATAAACAAAATTTTGCAGGTTTACTAAGACCACAGGATGAAATTTAATGGCATTCCTATGTGACGCTATATTAACATATTTTTTAAAGTTTTCCATGTTCCTAGTTCCTTCTTTCAACCTTATTATAAACGTTTTGTTGTTGAAGTTTTGAAGAGTAGAAATTCTACAATTTAGTGTCTCAGTCATTGATCATTTACCGTTTCTTGTTACTTTTTCTTGAGTTTACTCAGTACTTTTGTCTGTCCTTGGGTTGGAACACTACGTCGAATTTCTGACAATTCCAATACCATTTGGACTAGAAAATTCCTGAAATTTGGGCACAAGTAATTTTAATCCCCATTCCTAAAAATCATGTAAAGTTTTCAATTAGTTCATTCAGAAGTTTTGATTTTAAAAAAGAGAAATTTTCACGTTATTTAAGCATTAACTATTGTTATAAATTAAACTATAAGCGATTCTGTTATGAGTTTTATGAACGTTATTTAATGATTAATTATTTTTTTACAAGCTCAGTGATCAACATGGCTACGTCACCGAGTTAGTATTTCTAAAGTGACCTGGGACCGCGTGTCCTTTTACAATTTACTTTCTCAAACGTGTTTTACAAAATTAAATAGTTTAAAATCAACTGTAATTGAAATAAAGAAAAATAAGTTTTGTGCTAAAAAGCAAAGGTAAAGTTCAATGAAGATAAGTTACTGATTGGTTTAGAGGAGTTATAAAAAATGCCATACTATTATTGAAGCCAATGATGCTTAAATGATTCTGCTTATAAGTACTGATGGTACTATAG